CGGTACATTGTGAGACAGGAAATTGTAGAGAGAAACAAGCCCTATAACATAGGATACAACATTTTAATGAACAGTGCTTTCCATAAAATCAATAAAACGAAAAATATACGAAATAATATACATGTACTGATTTCTTTCGAAAATCGACAATTATGAAACTATGAACCCTTCCCGGACACAAACGGTACATTGTGAGACAGGAAATTGTAGAGAGAAACAAGCCAACATAGGATACAACATTTTAATGAACAGTGCTTTCCATAAAATCTACTGACGATGCTAACATGGTTAACCAACGATGCGTCCAATGTTAACTGCTCCTTAATTATATATTCAAGCAGTTTTTCTTTTGTTGCGTTTCCGAGAATACGATTTTCTATGAAACCAAGGGATTTGCTCGATGGTTGTGTGCAAGCCATGCCATTCGGCGTTTGCAGTATGGTAGTCATGCCAAGTTCGAATGTTAGTGACCTCCGCATGTTTCAAGGTCTGAAGATTACCAAGCAGGATTTTTTTTACCTATAAGAGCTTTTAAAATAAAATTGTGTTAAATAAAAGTCGATTTTCTTGTTCAATTTTTTACCGATTTTTGGGAACTGGAATAGCATTGAATAAAAATACTAAAGGCGGGTTCTCACTTGTCAGTTTCGCTGACGCAGTCTGACTGATTCACTTTCAATGAAAAATAAAAATCAACGATTGTATTCACACGTTTCATGTTTTGCTACATTCAGTATTCAGTTGGTCCAAACATTTTAACGTGGTGATTTCGTAGACATGAAAATGGTTGAAACAAAATTGAAACCAGGTGTTCGCGAAGTTTGTTTACAATTAGAAAATGAATTACAGAATATTCTGGTGAATCAGAAAAGAAGAAAACGTTTTTTTTTAAAGCAGATACGTCTACAAGAAACCGTTGACGTTCTATTTTAACAGAACGTCAACGGTTTCTTGTAGACGCATCTGCTTTAAAAAAAACTAAAGTGTTCTCATAATAGTTTGAATTTAAATATTTTAAATAGTTTTTTTCTTTATTCTTTGATTTTTTTTGCTTCCGATAGACTTTCCGAAACGTTAAGCATTTTTTTCTTTGTTAGGCAAATTTGTATAACTGTAAACATAACTTCTGACAAGCAGTGTCCGTTTAGGTTTAACGCAGAAGTGTTTACAAAAAATAACTATTTTATTTTGTAGATTTTCTTGCAGTGCAGTTGCGAAATCCCATAAAGGATTTTTTGGAGATATATATTAAAATAATTAATTAACTTTAACTTGTAAACTGAACAAATCACGAAAATGTAGTTCTCACGCTTCAGTTTCTATTCATTATTCGATAATGATCAGTCAAAAATGAAAAAAAGTAGAACTGGTTTTCACTTTAACTGAAAGTACGAATTTATTGATCATTTAACATGAAAATGTGTTCTGACGTTCATTATTTCTTCAGTATCACTGAATCAGTCAGACTGCGTCAGCGAAACTGACAAGTGAGAACCCGCCTTAAGGAATATGTGACATTTTACTGAATGAATTCTTTTTAAATATTTTACAATGCATTCAATTTATTCTTTGAATATTCATAACTAATTAGCAAAACAAAGCATGTTACAGTTAATTTTATTTTTTTCTCATTTGCATAAACGATTTTTAATATTATGTTTACATTTGTAAATTTATTGCGAACAAACTACACTCTCCTCAGGCTGAAAGAGTCATAAAACCACTAATTGCCGCACCTATTAAAAATAATTGACCGCCAGATATCCTCTTAGATTCACAAACTATTACAATTACGATCGCTGTGGATTTTAAAAGACGTTCTCGAATTTACAGGGTGTAGCAACACATTAGTACTTTTTTTTACTGAAAACTGAAACGTTTATAGGCTTGGTTCATTCGCCGCCGGTGCTGCCACCATCGGAGAATATCGTAAACAACTGGTATATGTATACAAATTTACGGGTTTAAATGGGGAGTATACGAAAATTTATTATATAATATAATTATTCTAAAAATGTTAGGCAGTATAATTTGTGAAAATTCTAAACATAAAAAAGTAAATATTTTGATATATTTAGAAGGTCTAATTTGTATTATAATTTATTATTCCAGCTAAAAAATTTTTTAGATGAGTTTAACTACGGTAGCGAACATAGTTTACGCACCGGTTTTGCTAGTGGGGTCATAATTGGGGCTATTTCGGTTATAACGAAATTTTTAAAGGTACATAATTATAATTTTAGATGTTCATAAAACATCTAATGATTAAAAAAAGTATCCCATTAATATTGCAAATTATATTTTATCCTCTCATAGTATGCGTATTTAATTTTTTGATTCTGTAATGAGCACTTTGTTTACTCACTTGTTTCATCGAACTGCTTGAATCCATATTTGCTTTTGATCTAATCGTTGTGAGAAACTGTGAAGCTATAAAACGTTGTTTCGGGAAAGATGAATATCCGGGAATGTTGAGTTATTGAATGTTATTGCACCCAACAACGCCCTAATTACGCTCTCCTTTACTCGTTAACATTTTTTCGGCAATTTTATTAACATTTGAAATTGTCACAACACAACACGACGGCTAGTTCGGATTCTTTTTCACTTATTTTTTACTGCCCGAAACAGCGTTTCATCACACAAACCTCGTGTACCTGAGTGTTTTATAGTTTCAATAACTGCACTAGCAAAACACAAAAATACTTAAATATTATGACAAAGCCACGATTTCAATGTTATTTTAATGCGATTAACATGAACTCTAACCGGGACGGCGCGGCGTGAAATACATAACGAAAACTTCTGATTTCTGCCCTATACAGCGCTGCGGTCGGAATTTTTTTAAATCAACTGAAATGTACTAACCCTATAATCAACTGTTTCGATTACTAACTAAATCTAAACAGTGCACTTAAGAATAAAGTATTTTAACTAGTATACAGTCGCCATAAATGTTGATAGGTAATTAATTAAAGAACAATTTTTTATTAACAAAATTGTTGAATAGATGCTTCCATGGACACCAACTAAAATTAGTTTTTATAGTTGGTTGGTTTTTATAGTAACTTTGTTGGGAGACTTAGTTTTTTAGGGTTCCGTACCCAAAGGGTAAAAACGGGAACCCTATTATTAAAACGGCCCACAGACGATCCAATCTGTTGTACAACAAGTTGGACGATTTGGTTTGATCCAACTGTTTTAACGATAATCGTAACGTCTGTGGGTTTGTCGTCCAACTTGTCGTTAAGACGCGGTTGGATCGTTTGGTAGTTCAGCATGTTTAAAAATCTGTCGTACAACTTAGTTGGATCAACGACAAGTTTGAACGTCTGTGGCTTTTTCACCGACTTGTTGCTACTATGTTAATACAGAAATATATCGTGTAGTGAGATTGTGGTGTTTCATCATGGAGGAAAATGGGCAGTTTTGGACAGAATTTATTGAAATTTATAGAGACCATTCGTGTTTATGGAATGTTAAAAGTGAGGAATATTCCAATAAACACAAACGGAACTCCAGCTACGAAGTGTTGCTGAGAGAATCTTCATCCATTCGTAAATAATATAGTATATAATAATATATAATATTCGTAGATAATGTATCTATGTTGCCGCTATAAGAACAAATACTAAAATCAGAATTAAATAAATGTTTATAAATAAAAAAGTAATTTTACTAAATATTGTCTTTTAAGTAAGAATTTTACATAGAATCTTTCAAGTCCTCGGTGGCCGCGTGGTTAAAGCGTTAGGACTTTACGCTGCTATGACGTTGGAGCCGTAGTAAGGCAGGTTCGAATCCTAGTTAAGGCGATTTTTTTTAATCTTTTTTTTAATTTTTACATATTTATTTTTACTCTTTACATATTTATTATTGATTAATACAATTTTTAGTAATGTGTTTCTTCATTTTTTTATATTACTTATACGCACATTCAAAATTTCAGCTAAATCGGAAAAAAAAGTTTATAATAATACAGTCTTTAATAATAAAATTATATAAGGATTCTTGCCACTTAACTGCTTATATAGAAATTTAATTCTACGCTGTGTTTGTCATTTGTCAACCTGCTCTCACTACCGGTTTCGGAGCCCTACTCCATCATCAGGTGAGCTTGGGCAGATCCACAAAATGACAACCACAGCGCAGAGATAGTTAATTCCGACTTGTCGGAAAGTGTCGGTTAGATATTAAGTCCCGAACGGGAGATAACGGCCTGCGTGCAATGGTAGTACTTTCGTACCACCGGGGCGCAACTATCGATAAATAAAAGGATGGTAAAGGCTTTTTTCTTTTTTCGGGACTTAATATCTAACCGACACTTTCCGACAAGTCGGAATTAACTATCTCTACGCTGTGGTTGTCATTTTGTGGATCTGCCCAAGCTCACCTGATGATGGAGTAGGGCTCCGAAACCGGTAGTGAGAGCAGGTTGATCCACATTATGATAAACACATCATTTTATTATATACCTATACTGCAAGAAATTTGTTTTCTATTTTATAGTGTTTAATGTTGTATAGATAATGAATGGTACGGAACCCTTCGTGCGCGAGTCCGACTCGCACTTGACCAATTTTTTATTTTACATTTTTGATGTGATAGAGTTTTACTGCATCACCCCGTATACACCGTCGCTCAGCGCGACGAAAACAAGTTTTTTCTCTTTGTCTATCATTGTTTATTGTTGCTCCGGTGTGTCGGTCGGTGAGTCTCTGTGGTACTACGCCTCCGATTTTCAGTAGTTTAAGTTAACTTAAACAAATAGAAGAATTACTCAAAACAATGGACCAATACATCCAAAATTACCTCACGAAAAAATGCTTCGAGACAAAATTTCTGTTACTCTACTACGTCGAAAAGAGCCTAAATTGTTATTTGCGAAAAAATATCGAGAGATACATTAAGAAAAATTTGGTTTTAACGCAAAATGTGTAGGTGTTTTTGTTGTGGTGTTATAAATAGTTTTTTAAGGTTGTTTTTCTTGATTGTTGCAGGAAATTGGGGTTGGATTTGGTGCCCAGGCAGGGGGCGAATATGGTTGAGCCTGATTCAATGTCTGTTGTGGAATTGTACCATGTTCATGTGGCTTCGGCGGAGAATACAACGACAGTATCGGTAAGAACGAAATGACTTTTATTTGTATTAATTTTAATTATTAATTCATTGAAAAAAAAATAAGGAAGGAGTATATGAGTAAACTGGGTGAGACCGCGAAGGGGTTTTAATATGACTGACTTGACTTCCGGTTGATCAGTTGCGTGCGATTTTTTTCACAAGAATAAAAATATACACTCAGATACAAAAAAGACGCAACAGGAAAACATTTGGTCAAGTTTGCTTGATTTTTTTAGCAAACTGTATACAGGGTTGTTCACCACATACGACACGGTGTATTGTAGCTAAACGATTAGATTTTTACAAATTGTAAGTTTTGGGTTCGTTGAAGGACTATTAGAGCTACAATTTAAAAATGAATTTGCAAAATACAGAGTGTCCCAAATAAGTAACAAATATTATATTTGTTTTTTTAAATGGACCCTCTATATTATTCGATTTTTAGATTCTACGTTTGAAATAAAGGTAAATTTGATTAAGGTTTATCACACTTAAACCTTACCGTTTTTGAAATATTTTCAATTTTCAATATTTCATGGGTATAGTTATAAATGAGGCCTAAATTATAAGAAAATGCATTTTCTACGAAAACTTGAAGAGATAGGTAAAAGATGGTATAATACAATTTGATACACAATTAAATTGTGCATCTGATTCTCGTAAAATATATAGGGTGTTATTATTAAATAAAAGTTTGTTTTTAAAAAAGTTTTTTTCTAAAATTTATTTGAACTTACAGTTTATATCTTCCTCCCCATAGTAATATGTTGCCTTTAGGTTTGTTATTTGGAATGTAGAGCTTAGGAGAAATATCTTCGTGTATTGAAAAGTGGTCATAAAAAATGGAAGACTTAAGATGGCGCTGCTCTAGCAAAAGTTCTACATTTGAAAGAAACGCCAAAAATTTTTAGAACGGGAAATAATTAAAAAGAGATTGATAAATATATGCGATTTCTGAAGACGCGTGTTGCGTTTCACTAACTTCACTTTATTTATAACCGCTATGTTCACTTCGATGAATTATTGTTTTTTAGCCGCCACGGTGGTCATTTAGTGAACTCTTATTCTTTCCATTTTGGTGACCACTTTTTCAAATAAAGTCCCATAAGAGATGTTTTTCCTTCCCTCTACCCTCCATAGTTTGTACTCAGTTAATTTCTAACGCTGCAAATGAGAGATGGAAGCGTGTGAATCGCTCATTCAATTTAAGTTAAAGGGGTGATTGTCTCGCTCAAGGAAAGAAAAAACTTTCGTTGTGCCACTTCGTTTACGCGTCCTTTGGCCTACCACACACTGTCTCCATTATAGATATATATGGGTTGTTATTTTCTATCTAATTTTTTCTTGGCTTTAAGGTCAGGTAAAAAAAGAGAAAAACGTTTGGTTTGGCGTTTGGCATTGAAGTTTCAATCTGGGAAGGTCTTTAGGAAAATTTATTACTTGAAAGTAAATTTCGGCGCATTGTTTCAGTTTTTGGCTTTATCTTTATTGTTTTCCTTTTATAATTTTATCCATTTTCATTCTTAGTGAAGAAAATAATCCAATATTGATAATCCAACACACATAACACAAAACATCTCGATATCGAGTCGTCACAATTTTTGTAAAGAGACGCACTTTTATTCGAATACTTCGTTGAGAATCGAATGCAGGATGCACGCCAGAATCGAATACTTATCGATTATTTATATTCAAATAGTTCCTCCATTAATTTAACACTAGTGGTACAGGTATAAGCTTCATTCAGAACATCGCAATTGGTGGAATAAATTAGTGGTAGCAATTAGCGTAGAAGTTTGTTCCTTTAATTTCAATGTAAGTATTCAGAACGTCAAAATTAGTGGTAAATATTTTCAGTTTGTAGAAAGTTATCAAATTTTTAACTTTTCCGCTAATTATAATTGGCGAGAAATGTAATTTTGGCCTTTGATTATCTTCCGTCAAGAGAAATTGTGGTTAGAAATAAAAAGTGGATTGTTTTATAAGTTAAATATTATGCTTTCTCTAAGGATTCAACTCACTAACCCAAGCTGTTGCTAGGATATTATATTTTAACTGTGTTTTTAAACATTGTGAATGATCGTAAACTAAAAAGTATAAAGTGTAAACCACTAATTTATTCCACTAATTGCGAGGTTCTGAATGAAGCTATATTGATAACTCCATACTTAGGGTTATGTTGGGTTATGCGGCGTTGTATCAACCTATTTTATACTTGTATACAACGGCCTCTCACATAACTTTTGGAATAATAGAAAAATTCCTATAATGCGAACAGCCTTTATATATTTATATATATTTTAAGATAAAAATGTCTATAGAATTTAGTAAAATGAAGGTCATTATAATTATCTCAAATATAGCGATGGCGTGTTCTGAAATTAGTTCCTTTAAACATATGCATCTCTTCGCATATTTTTGAAGATGTTATTGTCTTTAAGTGAAAATTATCTTTGGAACAATATTACAAAGAAACCAATAGATGCCAACGGCTGAAATTAAGGTATAATATCAACACACAACCTTTTTTCCTAAATATTCATTTATTTTTTTAATTCAGATTTGGATACTCAGGTACAGGTAGGTTTAAGGGATTACATTTGATTTAAACCAAGGTAGTTATTTTTGTGTAGTGGTAAGTTTCCACCATAACATCCTAATGCCTTTTATAAACTTGTACTGTATATTACAAATGTAAACATCATGTTTGATTGGTTAACTGTATGATTCACTATCAGGTTCAGTATGTAGAGACTATTTCCCAAGATCTGGTATGTATTGTAGGAAATAAAGAATTACCAACTGGAAGATCTGCATGAAAAACAGACAGATGACGATGAAATGGAGGTGTCTGACGACGATGAACCGGTTAAGAAAAAATCTCGGGATGTTTCAACTGACGAACGCAACAAGTTAAAAGACGAAAATGACAGTCTGAAGTGCCAAGTAGAAGCCTATAAGAATGAGGTAATAGATTTAATAGAATATCTGTGTAACTTGATACTCATAATACGTTATAGTATTAATTAATTTAAACAAAACACACTGTTTAATTTGTCGCAAAGATAAAAGTTGAATAATAAACAGAAAAGTAATTTAAAATGATATTAAATTACATTAGATCAGATCAGATTTTTAATTGATTAAGATTGGCAAAAAAAAAGTTTTTTAATTTCACTCAAAATGAGTTATTTGGGTCATAAATGACCTAAATACAAAATATTTTCATGGTGTCTGTCTGTTCGTCTGTAACACGATAACTCAAAAACCGCTGAACCGATTTTAACCAAATTTGGCACAAAAATACTGTGGCACCCGAGAATCTGGCCATTAGTTTTTGGTGGGGGTGGGGGTTGGTAAGGGGGTGTGGGAGGGGGTTAAAAATTTTAAAAAATCGTAACTCCAAAAGTACAGTAGCTAGCGAAACGCGGTTTTCTATTTAAGATTAGGAATAATATTTGCAACAATTTGTAATAACATCAAATCAGTCAAAGTCGCAGTTTTTGAGATAAAAAAAAATGGAAAAATTCTTTTACTTTGAAACTAACAGAACTGCCTACCAACTTTTTATTAACATATTTTAATATGGGCGGCTATACGTGCCTCCGTGCCTCCCGGCGCCAATTTTTTTAGAATTATTCTGCCAATAAATTTATTTTTTATTTGCAAATTTGATATTGTAATACCAAAAAAAACTGAAATTTTGATTTTTAATTTCACTCAAAATGAGTTACTTGGGTCATAAATGACCTAAATACAAAATATGTTCATGGTGTCTGTCTGTCTGTCTGTCCGTCTGTCCGTCTGTCCGTCTGTCCGTCTGTAACACGATAACTCAAAAACCGCTGAACCGATTTTAACCAAACTTGGCACAAAAATACTGTGGCACCCAAGAATCTCGCCGTTAGTTTTTGGTGGGGGTGGGGGGTTGGTAAGGGGGTATGGTTAGGTTAGGTTAGGAATTTTAAAAAATTGTAACTCCAAAATTACAGTAGCTGGCGAAACGCGTTTTTTTTTATATTAACGTTGCATTAGAGTATCATAAAACAAAATTAGAAATAAAAATATATGTGATTCACTTTGATGACCTTGCGAATACTACAAAAGCAAATGATTCTGTTACATATGTAATCATTTCTTATATTACTCTACAAACGGATGTAAAAAATGATATAATTCCTTTTAAAATATTTTTTACTAGTTATTTTAAAATATTCTTTCAAAAAAATAAAGCTGAGAACAAGCTAGTCGAAGTTAAGTGTTTTACTCAAATTATTAGAGTTTTTGAAAACGACACGACACAAATTCTGTGTTTCAAAAAAGTATTTAATTGAATTATTGTTTTTTTTGTGTTTAGGCAAGGGGTACCATAAGAAAAAAAGAACCCAAAAAGACGCTGACCCACCACCTTTACTTCTGCATGAGGGATTTCGGCCACCACATCGGCGAAGATACGGAAATCTATTTTTCTCTCTACGACGCTTGCAAACAAAAATACATAACCGAACGGTTCCTAGTCAAAATTTCCAAAGAAGGCTTCACAAACCACATCGAAAAGCTGCATAGCAATTGTACAGTATTCACAGTGAGTATACTTCGGTCACTTAGTATATTCACCACCATTAAATCTTGGTGCGATTCTAATCTCCTATGCCTCAATCTGTCAGAAACTAAATTTTTGTCATATAAAAGTACTATACAACGTTTTGTACTTAATAACACCACTATTGACGTCGGTCGTGGACTCTGTGAAATTCTTTGGACTTGTTATAGACAACTCGTTAAAATGGAACTTGCACATCGAAGCTTTATCAAAGAAACTAAGCGCGGCCTGTTTTGCGCTAAGATCAGTTTCTAAGGAATTTAACTTATCAACCTCTAGAATAGTCTATTATGCCCTTTTTGAGTCGCATCTTCGTTATGCCCTTCAATTCTGGGGTACTTGCTGCGCGACAAAATTTAATCGTATTTTCAAACTTCAAAAGTGAGCAGTTCGATATTTATTGGGACTAGTGTTGTAAATGGAAATATTGGAAATTTCCAAACGTGTCTCGGAAATATTGGAAATATTTTTAAAAATACTTAAATCTTGTCATTAACGATTCAAACCCGATGTTTATTAATATATCTTTCATATTTTGTAACCCTTTAAACATTAAACTTACTATAGAACAGTTTTACAAATATATAATATGGTGAATATATCGAGTTTGAATCACAAGGTTCTGAACTTGATGAAACCCAAATTCTTTCTGCCATAGAATGCATACTTAATATATCAAAAAATAAACTCAATATAAAGGAACAAGAAATAATAGATGAAATAGCAGATTACCGTTGTAGAAGTGGCAAGTTATTTGGAAATAACTTCATATGGAAAAGTAGTTTTGATAACCCAGTCTCCTGGTGGAACGGACTGTGTTCTTCATCTTCATTATCACAAGTAGCTTCACGAATGTTGATGATGCCAGCATCTTCGGCTGCCATGGAACGCTGTTTTAGCGTTTATAGTCATATTCATTCAAAAAAGGGAAACAGGCTTACTAGTGATAGAGCCGCTAAGCTACTCTATGTATCCCACAATGAAAACTTGCTGAAGAAAATAGGAAACAGCAATAGATCAATTTTTATTTCCGATACTATTGAAGATTTTGAGGAAGTAGACTGGCAAGAAGATGTTGTTGAGTGTGATGCTGATGACAGCGATAAAGATATGCCTCTTGCTCGACTAGTGTGTCAAAAATAATTTTTTTTGTATAAATTTAACCTTAATTTATTTTTTAATTTGAAGAATAACTCTTTATTTGTGTTTATGTATAAGCATTTTGTGTTTTGCGATGTCCGTTGTACCCGTTTGTATTTTTTTAAATATTTCATATATTTCCAATATTTCCATATATTTCCAATGTTTCAGGAAATATTTCCGAAAATATATTTCTGGAAATTTTACATCACTAATTGGGACTGAACAGTAGAACTCACTGCCAGAATTTCTTTAAAAATTTCAAAATACTCACTCCTCCTTCTTTATTGATTTTTGAATCCGTTTGCTTAATTTGAAAGCACATATCTGCTATTCCCGAAAGTTCAGAACTAGTTAAAGTCTCAATACTGTACAATGCCGAAAAAATGTACAATCATCTGCCTTTGAATATCAAGTCGCTTTCATTCTTTCCCGCATTTTGCAAAGCTCTGAAATCATACTTACTGGAGAGAGCCCTATATGCGGTAAACGACTTTTTTGTTGATGTTTAATCTTGAACAATTTTGAATTTGAAAATTTTGATCATCTCACACACTGGTTAAAGATCTTGTATTTAATATTTTATAACTCTTAAATTATTATATCCATTTACAATTTTTCTATTGTAACATTTTTTTTGTATGTTGTTTGTTTTTTATATGCTTTCTCGACGAAGCTATTTTGGCTTTTTGTACAATAAAGCGTTATTTATTATTATTTATAAAGAATCACTCCTCGAAGTTGCTGCTAATTAGCACACTCTGTATTTTGGTTTTTGTAGGATTTGGGTAATTCGGATTTGAACAAAGACATATACATAGTGGCTCATGTGATGCGGATAGGCAAAATGCTTTATTCGGACAGCTCAAAAAAGACTGAAAAATCCGCTACCCAACCCCAGTTATTTAAAAGGCCTCATGGCGTCGCCGCGCAGAATATTGGAGAGTTTTTAGCCAGCAAGCTGGAAGATAGCGAGGAAAAAGAAATCAGCATGAAGGTATATTAATTAGAATTTCATTTTTAATTAGATTTTAAGATGCTTAAGGATATTAAAAATGAATGATTTTTTAGGTGTATCAAGGGGAAGACAAAGACTTCCACCAGCTTCACGATTTTATTATTAGACAATCTGGAAAATATTCGGCATTATCCGGCCCAATAAACTATGGTATTATGATTTCTTTGAAAATGTTACATGGTGAATTAAGAACTATAAGAGAAGAAAGTCCTATGTTGTTTAAGAATGTTAGCTTAACCAGCAAGCTAGGTAAGTACCTCTAGATATTTTGTTTTAACTTGTAATATTTAGTTCTTTATTAATATCCAATATACAATAAAATAACTTTGAAATTAATAGTAAGAAGTTCTACATATTTTTATAGATTTTAAAAGGACAAAATCTACTTTTAAAGTACGTCTACTGGATCTGTGTCTATGAAAAGAATTTAAAGAACGCGGATACAATATTGGAGTATGATCAATGTACTACAAAACACATTTAAATAGACAGCAATATATTTTATAGATCGCTACCTATATACAATAGGGTGTCCGTTATTTCCCAAGTTGATATTTTTTTTTTTGATGCCGCCCTCTGAAGTTCTCTAAATTTTTAATTTAAACCGTTCCGGAATCCCATTTAAATAACAGGGGATTTTCTGCCCTTTTGCATTTAATTTTTTATCTCCAAAGCAAATGAACCTACAGCTTCGACAAAGACATATTACTAATACAAAATTTTACTCTCTACAAAAAACGTCTCTTTGGTTTTTTCCATAAAAACATTCCTTTAAAAGTTATTCGCGGTCAAAGTTATGCATATAGTTTATAATCAAATTTTTCTATCATTCACTGCAAATTTTAATTGGATCCAGAGCCATACTTTTTTCAATAAAACAATATTTCTTTACCAACTTCAATATGGAAAACTAATATTGCGCCATCTATGATCAATTGATCAAAACTATAATTTAAGGTTATTGTTTCATTGCCTTTCAGTGTTCGTAAATATGGAGCCAAACCAAACCACTCGAAATTTGTTCATTCTTTTCAATTGATACAAATATTTACGAACACAAAGGCAATGAAACAATAACCTTAAATTATAGTTTTGATCAATTGATCATAGATGGCACAATATTAGTTTTCCATATTAAAGTTGGTAAAGAAATATCGTTTTATTGAAAAAAGTATGGCTGTAGATCCTTTTTTAGTCAAAATCAAAAGGCGCAATTAAAATTTGCAGTGAATGATAGAAAAATTTGATTATAAACTATGTGCAAACTTTGACCGCGAATAACTTTTAAAGGAATGTTTTTATGGAAAAAAACAAAGAAACCTTTTTTGTAGAGCGTAAAATTTTGTATTAGAATATGTCTTTGTCTAAGCTGTAGGTTCATTTGCTTTGGAGATAAAAAATTAAATGCAAAAGGTCAGAAAATCCCATGTTATTTAAATGCTTTTTTACGTTGGGTAATTTTTTTTAGACCAAAAACTAAAACTTCAGAGGGCGGCATCAAAAAAAAATATCAACTTGGGAAATAACGAACACCCTAATATACAAGCGGCAGAGTCCACGTGGACTTGACGAGTATGTCACCGCAAACCACACTCATTACATTACTACTTGCTAATTCGTCAAATTTTTATTGATGCGTCGCGTCATCTAATTTTTTACGAGAAACATCGATTAAAACGGTAGTAGACTGAGCTTGGAAAACAGTGCAGTCGTTATCGGTAAAATAGTTTTTTTTCTTAATTTTTATAAAGATACGTCTCTTTTACGTGGAAAAGCATTGAAAAAATTAAACTGATTGGGTATGTTTGACATTTTTGTATAAGTAATGCTATTTAAAATATTTAAGGCACGCCCATGAATTTCTCTTTAACTGAGAGTACTGTTTCTCCCCTTACGGATGCCCTGTAGCTACAGAACGGATAGACGTACTGTATCAAATAAAAGTTTTTAAAATGCAACACATAAGGAAATTAAAAAAAGTAACTTTTTCCACCTGAATATATTCAAAAATATATTTTTTTTTATTTTGTTCTTGACTATAGGTCGTTGGGGTCGAAACGTTTTCAATGAAAATAAAATTATAAACGATATCTAGAAACATCTTTAAAACCTCAACGACCTAAAGCCAAGAACAAAAAGAAAAAATACATACTATATACCAGGTTAAAGAAACTAAACCAAAAAAAAATTAAAAATATATTTAGATACGATTTGATGTATACGCTCGACTTTTACAAGCCTCAAAAATCTAAAGGCGAGTTCATACGCATCGGCGTCCGTTTGTCTTTCATCGTTCCGTCAAACCAATAAAATTGAAATATGATCTGTCATTTTTGAAATAAACCATTAAAACTGGTTAAAAACAACAAGAGACGACGCATGACGGATTTATGTTTAAACCCATCCATAGTTAACTTAAAGATATTAGAATTTTTTTTTAGTAAAATAAATAGATTGGTATTGGACGTCATCTGCTTTTTTTCTGTCATCGTCTGTCGAAATCTTAACTGAGAAAAAAAACAGAGTATACTATCCGAAAATACAGCACGAATTTGGGTTAGTTCAAATTTTAAAACAGGGATATTTGGCTGCAAAACGATTAAAGTATTTCCAGACACTTGATTTGGGACTCTTAAGTTTTGTGTCATCAGTAGAGAAAATTCATTAAAAATTTGTTACAGGATTCCCAGATGTTATAATGCCGGGAGACGTACGCAACGACCTCTATGTGTTTCTGGACAAGGGAGAATTTGAAAGAGGCGGGAAATCGACAGGAAAGAACATAGAAGTCACCATAGTTGTCCTTGATGGAGAGAAAAATATCGTTAAAGTACTGAAACCATTTTTTTTGTTTTATCTTTTTAATAAAATCTATTTATTGTTTCAGAATTGTTTGTGGGGAGCGTCAGGTATTGAGGGTGCCTCAGAGTACAATTCCATGATTATTTACCATCATAACTCACCAGCATGGGCCGAGAACGTCAGATTAACCCTTCCTATTGATAAATTTGCCGGAGCTCACGTACGACTAGAGTACCGTCACTGTTCAAGTAAGTAGTGTATTGTAGACTGTAGATTGTACAGGAGGAAGGAAGTTATATCACCGCGATCTTATAGTTCTATTGTGTCCTCCTTGAGTTATAACTCATCATACAGTCTCAGGGGTTTTACAAATTCTGAATGATTTTTTTCAGCTCGAGAAAAAAATGACAAGAAATTGTTCGGATTTTCTTTTCTGCGACTGATGGACAAGGACGGAGCGGCTGTCCAGGATGGACAACACGAGTTGTACATTTACAAGTGCGAAGATCAAGTCAAACTGGAAAACTGTGGGTATTTAACGCTACCTGCTTTTGCCAAAGATTTAGAAGGTAAAAATAACTAACTACATATTCTAAAAACGTTAACTTTTAATAATAATTTTATTTAAATCGCATTAAAAGGGGGATAATTATGTACAAAGTTATTAGATTTTTTATTTATTGTTGTTTATAGGAAATCACGAAGCGAGTGGGCAATTCTCAAGAAGTCACAAAGAAATGGTCTCAATAAGAACGCTTTTATGTTCCACAAAATTAACACAAAATGGTAAGTACTAAATATAATTTTACCTTCAAATAATTGATAGTACTGTAAGAACATTGTATAAAAAAACTAAAGAAGGAATCTAGTAGGTAAAGTTTTTATATTCACGCATTAGAGACAAAATCGGACTTAACTTAAGGACTCTCTACATTAATGTATCTTAGTGTGGTTTATAATCAATAATTTATTAATGATTAATTTGTATTTAGTTGATTTATTGGCTCTTCTGCGCTGGAAATCACATCCCGAACGCATTCAAGAATCTCTCCAAAAGGTGTTAAAACTAGGAGACGAGGAACTGATCAAATTCCTCCAAGACGTTTTAGATGCTCTCTTCGCCCTTTTTTCCACCGAAGACGGTAACTCCACACCCTACAGCGGCCTAGTTTTCCACGTTTTGGTTTCCATCTTCAACCTGCTTGACGGTAGCAAGTACCAACACTTCAAACCAGTGTTGGACGCGTATATTAAGAACCATTTTGCAGCTGCATTAGTCTATAAGTAAGTATTTTTACTCTATGACATATAACAACCAGTATACTAAGGGCTGGCAAAGGTTAGTCTTGGGTCGAGATTTCCGTATGTAAGAAGAGTACAATGCATTTGCACAAAGAGGGAACAGTAAACACGTTGCCAAACGTATGAAATAAACCGAGAAACTGTGCACATTGCTAAAAGACATGGAAGGGGATATAGCAGATTTGTCGCAGTCGACCGGTTGAACCAATCAGTACCTCTGTCAGTACTTAAAGTTCTAGGGAAAGGTGTACATCATGCGTTCAGCTTCACGATTTAATTACGTCTCGTGATACTTTATTTGTTTATTTATTAACGAGTCGTTGTAATTTTTCCTATAGCTTGAAAATGTTTAAGTGTAAGTTAGAAACACTTGCATTTTTGGTAGAAATAAGTGGAATTGAGTTGGTGTTCGACAGTGGTCGCGCTATTAGAACTCTGAATTCAAAAGTCGATATCTCGAAATCTATTAGAAATAATTGATTGTAGTTTTTCAAAAACTTTCTTCGCAGGCAGTATGCAAAAATCTTTATAACTAAAAAAGTTACACGATTGCTGAAAATTGCTGTGCACTAAAAGTAAGTAAATACCGACCCAAAACTAACAGTTGCCAGCACGGTATACTTAGCTACATTTATAATAAATGTATACCTATGTGGCGGATACATCTCTTCAAAAAATCTTAATGGGTATTTCGCCACTGCAAAGTAATGATAAATAAAAAGTTCGCGTAGTTTAAATATGTGATAATTTATGCCATATATTTATAATGTTTTCGTTTTTTTTTATTTCAATATCAAAACTTGACATGTGATATGTCATTCTATTCAGAGTGTCATTTTCTATCGAATAAAGTAAAACAATACCGAGGGTGCCACTTAATTATTAAAAGTTATAGTCATTTCCGGTGAAACAGGAAGTGACCGAAAACAATTGAATACGTCAATCAATCCTAATTTATGTCATATACTAACATACCAAATCTCGTTTTTTTATCTGAAAAAATAAAAAAGGTATACGAGTGCGCCACTTTTGAGAAACACGCGGTATATATTTTCTTTCATACGATTTATTTCTTTTAAGGGGATTGTTGACCAGCGTCCAACACTGCGCAGAATGGGTGTCTACCTTCGAGAAGCAAGAACCCATCCAAAAATGCTTCAAAAGTCTGGAATACATTTTCAAATTGATTATCCAGAGCCGATTGCTTTTTTCCGAGGCCACCGGTGGACATTTTGAGGACAATTTTAGAAGGGACTTGTACAGCGTGTTCTCCAGCTTGAACCAGATGCTGAAGATCAATAATTCGCACATAACAAACACTCAGGTAGGATATACTCATTGCAATTTGTATTATAACTTTACTAGGTTAATATACCTTCTTTTTTTTTGCTTAGGTTGCTTTACTGTTGGCAATCAGCGCCGTCTACGAGCAACTGAACGAAGTACTTCCGACATTAGAGTGCACCAAGCTTGCTTCTACCATGCTTGACTCAATCCCTACCGATTTACCTGTCTTAATAATTCAAGCAAAGTTGGCTTGCATTAAGAACTTGGTTACCAGTAAATTATTCCAGGATGACGGTAAGTTTGTTTCTGTTTCTAATATATTTATTGATAAATTTCTTTTTTCCATAGCAACTGTTAAAATTGCCTTATATCTATCAAAAATAGTAGATAAAATAATACTTTAACCGCAAGGGTAGATTAAATAATACTTTGACAGCGAGGATAGGTTAAAAACTTTATTTCTTTTCGCACGTTTTTTAATTGCTTCCATTTTTGAAAATTTTTGTATTCATTTTCATGAGTTATGCGGGATTTAAATGAAAGTAGTTTGGATATGGCGTTTGTCGCTTCAGCCTGAATATCTGTTGGTAATTTAATTATTTCGTTTTGAGCCATTTCTGGCTCCAATTCAATCAGCAACCGACACGAAAGAGAATTAAAAAATATTGACTCAAAACTCAAAACTGACAACTAAAGAGACAGCTTTATTTATTTGTCAAATTACATAGAAACCAACGCCAACCCAGCACAATATTTTTTTCTACTCTTAATAAATTCCTTGAAATAATAATTTCTGAATATTTTTTAAAACAACTCGCTATGGAAAAAATATTGTTTTATAGGCGACGATAAAATTGCATTATCGTGTTCCGAAATTAATTCACTCGCGATTTCATCGCTCGTGAATTAATCTTTTCGGTCGACGATAAAATACTATTTTATCGTCTTGTATAAAAAATAACAATTTTTTTAAGACCAATCAATCTCTCAACATAAATATTTTTATTTAGAGTCCAGAAATATTCTTCTGGCAAACGCCTGCAAACATCTGAGGTATCACTTGATGCGGCGAGAAGAATTGAAGCTATGCACGGAAATACTCGGAGAAATCTTGGGTTTCTTGTTTAAGCAGAAGAAGTTTAGCGAGGAACAGGGCAAAGTGAATAATTGTATCCATCACGACGTGGATACGCTGAATTTATCCATTTTGGAAGTTCTCATTCAGACTGTTTTGGGTATTATAGACAAGGACCTAAAGATTTTGGTGATTATATCATAAAAATATTGTAATTTGATATAAATACTGTAATTTAATGTTACAGGGTTGTTTAGTTGCTTGTTTGATAGGCATTCTTCAACTTTTGGATGAGTTTCATTATAAACGCTTGTGGGAAGTGTTGATGGGGCCAAACAATGACAGGAAACCGTTAAAAGATTTCCTGTTAAGGGTAAGTATTTTTGATTTAATATCTGTTTGTTGTTATTAACGACAAGTGTCATTAAACTAGAAAAAAATACTATTTTGCCAAACTATTAACTGTCAATTTTCATTGTTTTATATGTCTAATAATATACTGTGCTATATTATTAGATTTTGTTGTATTTTGTGACTGTATAAATGTTTTCTTAGGCTGTATTCCAGACCGGTAAACTACGGTAACGTTCCTGAAAAACATCGGTTTGATAAAATATTAGAAACGTCAAATGTTGACGTTTTCTAAATTTCAATACCTCTAATATAAAATTTATCTTTTATCCATTTTTAATGTACCTATTCTCTGCTTTTACATTTGCTTCTTCTTTTCAATGGAGTTCAATATTGAAAAGTACTTTATTAATAAACTGTTAAACTCGTTAGACAGCTCAAGTGAAGATTTGCAGGTCCAATATTAAAACAGATCACTAATAAATAAACAAATCTAATTAATATTTATATTTTTATAGCTTACAAAACATTCACGATTACCTGTTGTCTTGTTTTTCATGTTTTCTTTAAATGTTCCTGACTTTAAGAAACAATGGCTGCATGATAAGTTTAAATGGTCCTAAAAAGTAATTCTATTTAGTTAATGAAATTTATTTACCTTTACTGCCTACCTCCATTGCTTTTGGATGTAAATACAAAATAATATTATTACAAATTTTAGAAATTAAATGAGAATTTCACTCGAACTTCCAATATTTGCTTGATTTCTATCACATAAATGACATTGATTGACAAACAAACCCAGAAAAACCAGCCTTCTCGCGCTGGTTAGTTTGGTGACAGTTATAACCGAATTTTTCAGGAACCGTGTTCCGTAATAAAATAACTTTCAGGAAACCGATAGAAACGGAACCTAAAACCATAACCAAGGTAAGCAACGGAATACATCCTTAGTATAAAGTTGCATTATATTTAAATTATATTACATACATTATGTGACATATCCTTTAACAGCATCATAACCATAAAAGTAAAATGACAGTTAATGACACTTGCTATTACCATAGACATATTATGAAAACTATTTGTAATTATTAACAGCTATTAACTCATATTTTACAGGTATTTTTAGTGTTTAGAAACTTGATTAGAATGGAAGTATTTCCACCAGACTGGCTAATCATAAAAATACTGACCAACAACGTTATACTGAAAGCTTTACAGGAATTTGCTCAGCCTTTGGCCTTTACATTTTTAGATGGCAAAGGATATTTCGATAAAGAAGTAAATACATTTTATTTTTATGTAAATTTTATTTAAAGTAACTTATCTTTTAGTTATGGATGAACTACTTCAATCTCTCTGTTGACTATCTCACTCAGCAATCTCTTCAATTAGAACAGTTCTCTGATGTAAAAAGAGAAAAAATCATCGAAAAATATGGCGACATGAGAGTGCTGATGGGTTTTCAGATATTGTCCATGTGGTCATCTTTAGGTGCGTATTCATACAGGGTGGTCTTCATCAGAAGCCTTCCAACAAATTTTTCTACTTTAAGGTGAATGCAAACTTCATTTTATTCCCTCCATGGTCGGACCTTTTCTCGAAGTAACTCTGGTACCTGAAATAGAACTAAGAAAAGCCACTCTGCACATCTTTTTCGATATGATGGAGTGCGAGCAACGGGCCAGGGGAAATTTCAAGCAAGTAGAATGCGAACTGATCGACAAACTCGACATACTGATCAGCGAAAATAAGGGCGACGACGAGTATAGGAGACTATTTAATACCATGTAAGTACGGCGGTACATTTGAACTACTTTACTTGTTTTTGTAGTTTTTATTTATAAAATTGAAAAAATGTTATGTGTTATTCGTTTAGCGTGTCCAATAGTCTAAACCAGCTTGATCATAAGTTTTTTTGATCGTTCATAGATATACAGGGTGTGTCAAAAAGTTTCATATGTAAGACAGTTTATAATTTTTTTATTTGTCGCCATGAGTTTAACCATAGTTTTTTTATTGCAAATAATTAATCTTTATACAATTTTATGACACCCGTATTTTTTTATTTTACTTCAATTTCATCCCATTTTTTAAAAAAAAACTAATCAATATTAAGAATTTCAAATTTACACTTTTGCAATCTCTGACGTCACCTATCAAAAGTGTCACGGTTTGCCACCAGGTACAAAGATAAATAAAAACCATTTTTCTAAATATATTTTAAAGTAGATATAAAATTAATTGTAAAATAAAACTTAAGGAACTTACGATAAAATGATCTTTACAGTAAAATCTCGTACTTTTGCTGACATATTGTTGTCTTGCTGCTTCAAACCAGGCTCTTCGACGGCTTTCATCCAAAGGAACAGTTATAAAAACTTTTTCTGGAGAACCTTCAGAGTTATTTAGACAGCCCTTCACAAAACAAACTTTAACATACTTCATTAGAAAAATAATAAAGAGGGTACAATAAAACAAAATTGAAAACTCAAAGTATTTAACGCCAAACGCAAAACCCACAAAATACAAATCTAACACCCCCGAACGCCTCGAACATCCGAACAACTTTGGTAGTGTTTAGTGCTTCGATAAAAATGGCAGTAACTTAATTATAAAAATTTAAGTTTTAATTTCTAGTAGTAAAAAATATAAAAGTAAATTTAATATTGGGGTAATAAAGAATAATCCCACATAAAAACGTATTTTTTAACGATCTTAATAAAAATAGAAAAATCTAACGTGATTTTAAGATATATGGTGTAAATACGGTAGCAGAGAACTAGACACGCCATAATATTATTCTTCAGAGGCTTGCGCCCTCTGTCAACTATTCAGACAAATGCTGATAGGTGACGTCACAATTTTCTACTTAATTGTAACTTCATTGCATTTATTTTTGTATTGTGGGAGTATTTTTTAATCACTTCAATTGAATTTTTTATTTAAAATAACAAAAATTTACTATGGTTAAACACCAGATTCCCCATTTTTTTCAATAATTCAATAATAGTAGAAAATCTCCATTTGTTGTTAACTTTTTGACACGTCCAGTATATTTCATAAAGTTTGCATCACCTTGAATATGTTATCTAGAGAGTTTTTTTCTTTTTTTAACAAATACATTTTAAAATCGATGAAACTTATAACAAGATCCATGTAAATATTGATCTTGAAAATTGATCAGTTAGTAAAAAATCTTGTTGATGCAAGCTTATAGTACTTTACGTCGTTGTTTAGTAATTCAGTTTTATTAAACTACAATAATTATTTATTCTGCATTCACAAGGGAGCATCTTAGTGCAGTGTAAGTACAATATAATAACTTAGAAGTTTAGTTGATAGATTTTTTTTACTTTTTTCTGGGATTGGTTTAACCAAATTGACATTTTAGCCTCCTAAATCGGGTACAATCGGAAGATCCAGCCTGGAAAGAAAGTGGTGCTGCTTTTATCAGCTCCATAACCAGGCTTCTCGAGCGTTTGTTAGATTACAGGAACGTTATACAGGGTGATGAAAACAGAGACAAACGAATGAGCTGTACATTCAATTTATTAGTAAGAATATTATAACTATAAAAAACTGTGGAAGGTTATTGAAATGGGTTTACTTTTTTTAGAATTTCTATAAGAACGAATTTAATCGCAAGGAGATGTACCTGCGCTATATTTACAAACTCCACGATCTCCATTTGTCAGCTGAAAACTTTACTGAAGCAGCTTTTACAATGAAATTATACGCCGATCAACTCTCTTGGACGAATAATCAAATAGTTTCTGATCCAAATTACCCCAATCATTCAGAGTGTCAAGTAAAAGAGTTACTATACAGGCAGATCATTAATTATTTCGATAAGGGGAAGGTAATAATACAATAGTAGTTTTTTGATATTTTTTCCATAGCAACTGTTAAAATTCCCTTATATTTCTCAAAAATAGTAGATAAAATAGTACTTTAACCGCAAGGGTAGATTAAATGATACTTTAACAGCGAGTATAGGTTAAAAAACACGTTTTTTAATTGCTTCCATTTTTGAAAAAAAATGATTCCTTTTCATAAGTTATTCGGGATTTAAATGGAAGTAGTTTGGATATGGCGTTTGTCGCCTCAGCCTGAATATCTGTTGATAATTTACTTATTTCGTTTTTCTGAGCCATTTCTGGCTCCAATTCAATCAGCAATCGACACGAAAGAGAATTAAAAAATATTAACCATAGACTAATGTCACGTACTAGAGATAAATTGGACACTGATATAAAACAAACAAGTCCGTCATTTAGAGCCACCTGGTGATCCGGAAGAAACTAATGGGGAGTTTTGGCATAACATAATTTTACCGTTCCGTTACTTATTAACGCTAACTAAAACGGTAACGCTATTCAAGCGCAAAATTATTCCTTGTAAAATATAAAATAATAAATAGAGACTCGTTTACTATATTTTATGTTTTATTAGATCATTAGAAGTATAACATATTCAAAACTAAAAATAAAATTATGAATACATACATTTTAAACACCAACATAGAGTACATAGCGCCTATTTTTTTGATTTGGTCTGGTATAAATTATAATATTAGAATAAAAATATTATAGACTACTAATTCTTAAAGTACTATATTACCAACTATGTACTTACTTATTTATGATTAAACATTTTTTTATTTCGTTCACAAATGTATTATTCATCTAAGCTGTCTAAAAGGTCTTTGCTAAAAAAGTTTATTATCTCACACGAAAATGATGGTCGATTGTAAATATCAAAATGCACAAACTAATAAAAACACAAACTATAAACACAAATCACCGAACTTTCTGGCAAATCAGGAATATCTGAATTAATAATTTTTAAAATAACTTGACGGATCACCAACATTTTGACAACTAAGTGACAACTAGACCAAAACTAGACCATAGATGGTAGTAAATATAGAGGCTGTCATGTCATCTTCATATATAAATTAGAAATCTGTACTTTAATGTCTTTTGCGCCGTCTGGCGATGCGGAAGAAACTAAATTTGTAGTTCCATAAAATTACCATTGAGTGTCTAGGGCATGATATTGACTCAAAACTGACAACTAAAGAGACAGCTTTATTTATTTATCAAATTACATAGAAACCAACGCCAACCCAGCACAATATTTTTTCTACTCGTAATAAATTCCTTGAAATAATAATTTCTGAATAATTTTTTAAAACGAAACCCGCTATGGAAAAAAATATTGTTTTATACACGACGATAAAATACCATTTTATCGTCTTGTATGAAAAATAACTATTAATTAGTATTTTTTTGATATTTTATAAGACGTTGAAAAACTTTAAATTTCTTGATTTCTTTTTGACTTAGTGTTGGGAAAAAGGAATACCGCTGTTAAAAGAGTTGGCGGAGCTATACGAGACGATATTTTTTGATTATAAGCAATTGAGTGATATTTTAAAATGCCAAGCCAAGTTTTACGACAATATTTTGACGCAACTTCGACCGGAACCTGAATATTTTAGAGTTGGATTTTATGGACTGAGCTTTCCTCTATTTGTGAGGGTAAGTATTTTATATTATACAGGTTGGTCCGAACCGTATTCCGGAAACTTCAGCAGAACATTGTGCAGATAAAAATAAGTAAAACGTTCGTATAAATGCATGTCCTAAAATGCTTAGTTTTGGAGATACAGGGTGTAGAAGTTTCATTTTTATTTCGATTTTTTCCAAATAATTTTTGAAGTAACGGCAATATTTTGATGAAAATTGGTGTCTGGGAGTTTTTTGACATGAGAAATTTGATTTTGATGTCAATATGACTCCGACTTGTAGAGGGCGCCACCTACATATTTTTATCTGGTTTGAAGAGTAATAACTTTTCGTCTGTATCTTTACAAAACTACTGAGTAAAAAAATATACATTTACAGCGTTTTTTACCTAAAAAGGGTCTCTTGGTAAAAATTGCTAGGAGTAATGGTTCTCGAGATACTTGGAATCGAAATTATCAATACCTGTCGTCATTCACATGACGTCGTCACATAAATTCAGCACGTTGATTAAATAATTATTAGACTGAAATCATAAATTTGAAATGTATTTGTGCCAATGGTTCAACAGAAACTGTTTTACCGTCATTTTTTCGACGTAAAGTTTATGATTAATTTAAAAAAATAAAAAGTCCCCAAATTAATCATTTTGTCAAATAACTATTTACAACATGTTTATATTTTGTCAATAATGACATGTATTGATTATTTCTATTCTAAATATCTTGAGAACGGTTGCTCGTAGCGATTTTTACCAAGAGACATTTTTTAACGTAAAAAATGACGAAAAAGTATATTTTTACACCCAGTATTTTTATACAGGTACGGACGAAAAGTTATTATTATTACTTTTTATTATTACTCTGTAGAACAATTAAAACACATGTAGGTGGCGCCCTCTACGAATAGTGGTCATATTGACAAATAGTAGTCAAAATCAAATTTCTCATGTCAAAAAACTCCCAGACACCAATTTTCATCTAAATATTGACGTTGCTTCAGAAATTATTTGGAAAAAATCGAAATAAAAATGAAACTTCTACACCCTGTATCTCCGAAACTAAGCATTTTAGGACTTATTTTTATCTGCAGAATATGCTGTCGAAGTTTCCGGAATACTGTTCGGACCACCCTGTATAGGATGTGAAATTATTTAGATATTATTAATTATAACTATTTTTGGGTTACTTTTAGAATAAGCAATTTGTGTACAGAGGTTTAGCTTACGAACGAATCGGTGCCTTCACTCAGAGATTACAAACCGAGTTTCCCTCCGCTCAAATATTGATGAAAAACACCCCACCAGACGACAGTATTATTAATTCAGATGGCCAATGTACGTTACCTTTAAACTATATACTATATCAACACATATATTCATAATTTTTTGATTTCTTTTAGTCATACAAATATGCAACGTTAAACCCATTCCAGAAAGCACGCCTATCACTATGGCGACCGACATTCCCGAAAAAATCTCTAGGTTTTATCACTATAACGACGTGAAGAGGTTCCAGTGTGACAGGCCGGTGCATAAAGGCATCATAGATAAAGAAAACGAAATAAAGGTATGGTAATCGCAAAACAATTCCGATGCACGTGATCAACTTTGAGTGACAAGCGATGGCGACAGCGCTGCCAGATTGTGATGGATTTATGAGATGAATCTTAATTTAAAAGTGACAAACAGTATAATTATATCATTTTTTAAAGATTTTTAAGTTTTATTTTTAATTACTAATAGTTTAGTGATTATATGATTTATTTGTTTTATAGCTTATTTTACTTATTACATATTGGCAAAAACTAGTCCATTATGAAGATTATTCTAAGCGTTATTATGGGTTATTTATTTATTTATTTATGTACATCTTACAACACCATAAATAACAAGTAAGAGGGTGCTATTAATGCACAAGCTAATAATAACAGAATTTAATTAAAAACTAACGTAGAAATAACTTTGAAAGTGGTGTAATGTGCTTATCAATCAAACTTACTTCTCTGACTGCAGTCAAGGGTAATCTTCTTCTTAAAGTGCCTATCCTCTTTGGATGTTAGCTATCACATTGGTCCATATTACTTTGTTCACTGCCGTTTTGAACAAAGCTGTTGAAGTCACTCCGGTCCATGTGGACGCAGTCCTGCGAAATGCAGCCACGATATTCGTCGGCGTCCCGCTGATCTTCTGCCTTCTAGGGTAATAAAGGATCTGTCAAGGGTAATAAGGGTATTAAGGGTAATAAAGGATCTTTATTGTCACGTTCTTGTTCAAAATAGTTTATCAGGGAAGCTACAAGCTCTTTGCTTCGACTGTTTAAATGCTTCGGCATATTTTCAACACACAATTTCAAGAAATGCAATACAAAAACTCGAAAATTTAGTTCTTCAAAGAACTGTTTCTGCTTAAAAGTACCATTTTAAAAAAAAATACTATGAAAATAGGCAAAAAACGAGAATTACAGAGATTCAACAACAACACTATAATATACAAAATAATGACAATATTAGGATAATTGTCAAATAATAAACAACAACCTTGCTGAAAACGGCGCAATGTGACCAACATAGCGATAATAAAATTCGGTTTAAACTAATTTTTGCAGCTTTATTCTAAATAAAATATCTCTTACAATCATTTGCTCTATAAAGTAAAATGAAGAGCTGTTCGGTATCTTAAATGATACAACAAATTTAAACATTTTTGGCAAAATTTTATTTAAAAGAAGCAAATTAAGGCCTTGAAAACCCTACATATATGCTTATTCTCTGCATTAAGTTCATCAGACCGAGGGAAACAGCCATTCGACGACCGGTTTCGGAGATTTATCTCCATCGTCAGGCCGACTTTGCTGTAACCCTCGATCTGACAAACGAAAAGTCAGGTTTATAGGCTTTAGTGTCAATTTCCAGATGATTGATGACGTGCATCGGAAAGTGTTGCGATTACTATATTGATTATACCAATATTGCTTCATTTATACAAATATTCCATCAATTTTAGACGTTGTGGATCGAAAGGACTGTACTTGAGATAGCAGCGCCTCTACCCGGTATCTTGAGATGGTTCGAGGTGATTTACAGGCAGACCGATGAGATTGCGCCTGTGCAGTACGCATGCGAAACGATGCAAAGCGTGGAAAATGAACTGAGACAGTTGATAGCCCTTTACACGCAGGAACCCAAGAGAAATCTTAATCCTTTCACAATGAGATTGCAGGGAATCATCGATGCTAATGTTCAGGTATATTATTTAATTTTATTGACAGAGAAAATATTATATTACAATACGAAATGTTCTTTTATATATTTCAGGGTGGATTAAGCAAATACCAACAAGCCTTCTTCACCAAAGAATTTACCAAACTTTATCCTGAACATAAGTGTTACGTTAACACGTTGCAAGATCTCATCCTAAATGCAACAAGGGTAAAAATGTTGAGATTACTTTAATAAAAAATATAACTCATTTTTTTTGTAGGTTATAGAGGAAGGATTATACCTCCACGGGAAGTTAGCCCCTTCTAGTGTCCAACCCTTGCACCAAAGACTTGTAGAAAGATTTTTACAGTTGAGAGAAAGTTTAGGATCGCTGAGTCAACAAACGCCAAATAGTATTATCAAGTACGTAATTTTTATTAAGTGTATTTATTACCTTAGATCGTATAACATACTGTCTCTCTGTCTGACACTGACTTGGTCAATCGTTTTTCTTTTATCCTTTAGAAAACACACTAATATGCAAAAAAATAATGAGTTACTTTTTTGTATATAAGTATAATTTAACTAAAATTATCACTACTGCCATACTCCCTGACGAGTTTAACACGCATCAGAAGATGGTTACGCCAGGCGTTTTCTTTCAAAAAAACGTCAACATTTGACGTTTCCAATATTTTACCAAACCGTTCCGGGTCAAACCGATGTTTTTCAGGAAACGATCTTTACCGTAGTTTACCGGTCTGGTTCGCCTGTTTTTGCGACGAAATACAGCCTAAATTAGACAAACGTAAATGTCAAAATAACGTATTTTTTATTTTTCTAGTACTCCCCTGCCTCCTTTACCGTCAGAAAAGCGCCTCCTAGTGGAGAACGGAGGAAGTAACCGATCCTCTACTAACTCCAGCGGAAATTACGGTCACCTCGTTGACCATCAGCCGATGGACTACGACACCGTCTACATGAAACCGCTGGTAGGCTTCAAAAATCTTGTTTCTAACAAACGGAGAACGATGCATGCCGTTCCAGGTTACAGTATTAGGTTTTACGTGGGCTACGAAGAGATAAGCATGAGCAAAGTTAGTTAACCTATGATTTTTTTCTCTGTTTGTTGTTGTGTAGCTGATAGAAAGGTTCCTGTGCGTACTACTAATAATAATATTTACTAACATTATAGATTAAGGTAGGTAGTAAAATGAGATGCAGATATATTTTTTAAAGATATATAATATATTTCGTGGGCATTTTTTTAATAATCTATAGTGTACAGTATAGCTTAATAGCCGTAAAAAACTCATTGCAACTTTATTGTAATATTTTGAACGGGAAAGCGGTAGCAATGGCCCTTAATGTCTCTTAAATGCTGTTGAGAAGGGGTGTTTTGTTGATGTAAATAATAACTGTTTATATCTTTATAATTAATTTATTTTTCTTTTTTAAAAGAAAATATGTAAAAGTGGACAACGCTGTGCCGGTCAAGCTCAATCACGTGACTAAAAGTTTATTTGATATGAACTATAGGATCTTTTTTGTTTAATTTTTATCTATAGTATCACCCACTTAAGTTTGGTACACTATCATTTTTATACCCTGTATTCTTCTTGTCCTACGAAATATGTATGTTTTTCAAAATATATCGATATTTTTGTAAATAATAACATTCCTAACTATAGATTTTCTTGCGTTTTAAAATAAAAATGCGTTATAGGAATCAGATCGTCCAATACTAAACAGAGAAAACCTCTCGCTGCCTACGGGAACCATAGCGCCACCTATACCTCAAAGGGAGTGCAGACCAAAATCTCAGGGATTCAACAACACCAGTTTTTCCGATTTGCGAACGCCTACCAGAGGTCCTTTGGAGTACAGTAGTTCCAGTTTACCTTCTATGAAGTCTAGGTACGACACTTAAAGAGAATATACCGTACTGGCAACTGTTACTTTTAGGTCGGTTTTTATATTTGTGGAAGTAAATCGCATAGGGATCTTATTAAGTCGGACTGACAGAAATAAGGCGACGGTGTGCTGTTGCAGCGTTGCGGGTTGCCGGTACGCCTTTCCCTATCAAGTAAAATCACGATCGCAAACCGCTTATTTTTAAAAGATTTTTTTTTTCGAAAAGAAAACTAGATGAAATCATTAGGGTGTCCATTTTTTTATAAGGAGAAAACGTCAGTAATCGCGTTAATTTAAAAACTCAATTTTTTAACACATAACACGCCATAACCTAAGAACCACTTTAGATATTGAAACTTTTTTTAATTTTGCTCGGATCTTTTACAATATGTTTAAATAAGAAAAAATCGATAAGGTTTTTTTCATTCAAAAATTTTAAACAATCCATCCATTTACTTTTAGTGCATAGCAAAGATTTTCACATACTGTCTGCGAAGAAAATATAGCAGAAATAGGTATTGAGAAAGTTTTTGAAAAAGAGTTCTGTTTCTTTCAGAGTTCTAATAGCGTGACCACTGTCAAACACCAACTAAAATCCACTTATTTGTACCAAAAATGCAAGTGTTTCTTGCACTTAAAACTTTTCAAGCCATAGGGAAAATTACAACGACTCGAGGTTAATAAATAAACAAATAAAGTGTCACGAAACGTAATGAAATCGTGAAGCTGAACGCATGATGTACACCTCTCCCTAGGACTTTAAGTACTGACAAGTACTGATTGGGTCGACCGGTCGACTGCGACAAATCTGCTATATCCCCTTCCGCGTCTCTTAGCAATGTGCACACTTTCTCGGTTTATTTCATACGTTTGGCAACGTGTTTACTGTTCTATCTTTGTTCAGTACTTTATAAACGTATTGTACTTTTCTTACATACGGAAATCTCGACCTAAGACTAACCTTTGCCAGTCCTTCGCATATAGAGAAATCAATGAAAGTTGAAAAAAAAATAAAGTGAAGAAAGTAGCCATGACAACATTGTGACGTGCAAACTTTGTTGGTTTTCCTATAAATTAATAAATTTAACGATTCCACAAATTCGTTTTCAGAGATTCTGATCCATGCGATATTCCTCTACCACCAAAACCAACTCATTCGAGAGAAAGGTCGTTAACTAAACCACCTTCGCCGAAGTTGTTGAGACACGCCATGTCAATGACGCCGACTGATGGTACGTCACCTTTAAGGAATTCCTGGCCTGATTCTGGAATCGATGAGGCACCTCCACTACCGCCTAGGTCACACAGTAAGTTGAATTGTTGATTTTTCGTGTTTATCTGCCATATACCGTGTGATGTGAGTATAAAAATTACATTTTTGTAGGCATAGGCACATTTATTTTTGTTCAAAATTTCTTATAGCCAAGAGAACGTCATTTATTAACCATACTAATCGTTTTCGAGTATATTTCTGAAAAATATACAGGGTGGTTAGGTGAACTGTATTCCGGAAACTTCGGCAGCATATTCTGCAGATAAAAATAAGTAAAAAAGTTTGTATAAATGTATGTCCTAAAATGTTTAGTTTCGGAGATACAGGGTGTAGAAGTTTCATTTTTATTTCGATTTTTTCCAAATAATTAGTGAAGTAACGTCAATATTTGGATGAAAATTGGTGTCTGGGAGTTTTTTGACACGAGGAATTTGATTTTGATGTCAATTTGCCTGCTACTTGTAGGGGGCACCACCTACATATTTTTGAACTGGTTTGAAGAGTAACAACTTTTCGTACGTACCTGTATAAAACTACTGAGTGAAAAAATATACATTTCTGTGATTTTTTACCTAAAAAATGTCTTGGTAAAAATCGCTACGAGCAACAACTCTCGAGATATTTAGAATGGAAATAGTCAATACCTGTCATTATTGAAAAAAAAGTTATTACTCTTCAAACCAGTTAAAAAATATGTAGGTGGCGCCCTCTACAATTAGGAGTCATATTGACATCAAAATCAAATTTCTCATGTCAAAAAACTCCCAGACACCAATTTTCATCCACACATTGTTGTTACCTCACAAATTATTTGGAAAAAATCAAAATAAAAATGAAACTTCTACACTCTGTATCTTAGAAAATAAGCATTTTACGACATACATTTATACGAACTTTTTTACTTATTTTTATCTGCAGAATATGCTGCCGAAGTTTCCGGAATACAGTTCGGACCACCCTCTACATACCATAGTCAAAAAATGGAGGTATCTTATTTATGGTATTGAGGGGAGTAAAAACTTTTTAACAAGACCATGGTCTGGCAAAAGAATATATAATTTTACATATACTTTAATTTATTTCAAAAAATGACAGAAGTAAAAAAACTGCCTCTAAATTAAAATGAGAGACAAGTGTCACTATTGTCATATATTCTTTTGCTATACATACTAAACTTGTAACTTTAGTTCGCTACTTAGATTATTATGAATGGTTTCTTTTAGTTTTTTTTTCTGTTATAGCTCCTGATAAGCGCGTGCAGTCACTACCAAATGATATACCACCCAACATACCTAAACGCGGACAAAAAAAATCCACGCCATCTATATGTAGCGCGGAGTATTTGCCTCTGGACGAACCGGCACATGCGGCGCCATCTAGTTCCGAAGGAGACTTGGCAACGTCGGGTATTTTAGGGACTGTCAACGTGGACGCAAGGGATTTGAGGGATTCCGGAATCAGCATGAACGAAACAAGGTAAGATAAAATTATTTTCTTCCAATATCTCTTAGTATTCTTTTATATTATTCAATATTCAAGATATACCCATAGATATGTATAAAAGATGTTTGATTGGTCACAGACTTAATATAATCCTTTTTTCAAAATTTTCAGATTAAAAAGTTTGATTTGTCTGATGTAATATCTTAAAAGCGTACTTAAAATAAAGACTTTTATCCTTATTTACAGCAATAGCTTAAACAATTTCAACGCTCAGGGATGTTACATCGACTTCGAATTGCGCCCACATATCTCTGAACTCAACATCAGCGGCAGTCCTCAAGATGGCGCCAGCTTGAGTCTCAAAGAGGAACATCCTCCACCCATCCCGCCTAAAATTGGAGGAAGTTTGAACTCCAGCCTAGACTTGGGAGGTAATTAGTATTCTTAATCTATTAGAATTTATTATTGAATATCTATATATTATTCTTAATATTATTCAGAACTTGTTAACCATCTTTGAATAGGAAGATTAAGGAATGAGTATAATCCTATATATCCATGTATTCATGCATGGTGGGCGAAAAAAGTGTGGGGATCCTTGACAGTTCTGTTTGACGATTTATTTGACACATTTGAATTTGATTTGAAATTTTGTGGATTTGTCAGTCTTTACGGAGCTGATTTTATGTTATTTATTATTTATTCTACTACTGATATAGTCTATAAAATGAATAACTTTGAATTTTGACCGTTATTTTTTTACCAACATGGCAAATATAAAATCCCTCTGTCAATAAAGTTTCTGATATTCTTTAAATTGAGTGACTGACCGAATCAGATAGGTAACTCTTTTTACTTTCGTGAAATAGAAAAGGAAAATTATAAAACATGTCACAATTCTGCCTCTTCTTGCAAAAATCAACACGAAATGGAATAATTGTCAAAAGTCAGATGTCATCAGCTTTTGACATTTCGAAATATCCGACCAATGCCGTCTCTAATAGAACAGCCTCGGAGCGAGATTTATGACGTCACGCTAGTTAGATACTACGGATTAATAAATATGTTGTAGAATACATGGAAAACATAATTATTCCTCGTGTTTTTGGTTTGTATTTTAAAAATGATATAGTTTACATGAAATATACATAATATACAGTTAATAAATACAATATATTATATACCTATTTATAGTAATAAATACTTTGGCAAATAAACTATGAACCATACAAAAGATATTGGGTAAAATGTAAAATATATTTTAAATTTTGGTTTGAAAATCGATTTAATTTAACAAAAAAACATTCAATGTCTACTAATTATTATTATTTGCATTCACAAAATTTATATGTATATTTTGCAAGTATCAATGTTCGAAAAATTATATTTGCAAATAATACAATATCTTAGAAAAAAAGGCGTCAGCGATGACTATGAAATAAAGATCGCTGTCATTTTATATGTAAACTTATTCTAAAATTTTTGATTTTCTTGGGATTTAGGTTCGGGAATGCTGATTAAGTTTTCATTTGGTTTTTCATTATTTTTGTTGGTTTAAAATGAAAAAAAAATCATATGACAAAGCAAGGCTATAATGTTAGCCGAAACGTTTTTTTTAACCAAAAAAAAATGAAAACCCAAATGAAAACTTAATCAGCGTTTTTATTTATAAAAAAATATATATACAGTTAATATATTTTTTTATATTAACTTATTTATATTAACTGTTTATATTAACTGTATATTATGTATATTTCATGTAAACTATATCATTTTTAAAATACAAACCAAAAATACCAGGAATAATTATGTTTTCCATGTATTCTACAATATATTAATCTGTGGTATGTAACTAGCGTGACGTCATAAATCTCGCTACAAGCCTGTTCTATTAGAGACGGCATTGCGTCAGCATAGCCGCAAGTTGCTAACCTAATAAAATTAACACTAGAAAAGCCCGCGGGAACTGTCAAATTCAAAGTTATTCGTTTCACAGACTATAGTTGTATAAAGGTAGTAAATCTAGATGGAAATTGTGGCAGAATTTAAATTAACAGTGGCACTATTGCGATTTATCGAAAAAATAGTTGGTTGTGTAGCGTGCGGTAGATCTGGTCAAAAATCGAATGAAATAATGGAATAACTGTTCGCTAGTAAGTGACTATATAATATACATACTTGTAGTAAACCGATGATTTATGAAATTCACTTAAATTAACTAATTATATATTTTTTCTTGCATTTTTGCTTTTATTTACTACTTGTCGAAGATTAGATGTCAAAGAATTTAGATACGTTAATTTGACTAACCTGCTTCAGTAGCGTATCCGATGTTTGTGTTAATAAATGATTATTATAACTTATCTATTTTTATTAGAATTATATATTTTTATAACAATTTTAATAACTACCAACATTTATTCACAACGTAAAATAAAACAACAAATTATTGAGTCTACTTTACGTCTACCCAACATCATAGTTTTACACTTTTTAAATAAAATTAGAACGGCACTGATAAACCGGAATTTAAGTCGGCCATATTTGAGTTCCATTGCGGTTGACCTAAGTTTTGTTGATATGCTCCTTCCTTAATCTTTTTATTCAAACTATACTTATTTCTCAGTTCAATCTTTATTGTTCCATGGCAAGAGTGTAAAATCTATTGACGCACACTGCTCATTGACGTCGGTTTGAGGCATGAGATGGGATATTTCGTGAGTAAGAGTCGATTTAGACACTCGCCAAGTCGGTAGGCCATTGACAATGATATGGCCGAGGACCGCGGTTCGGATTCCGCGTAAACAAAGTAGGCCCCGTCCAGATTAGCCTTAGCAGCAAAAAAGAGACGTTAACTTACCTTTCATTTCACGCAGTCAGTACATTCAATACAAAATATCTATGATGTTTCGTTAACAGGTAGTTTAGAACGTCCACCCAGGCGGAAAGACGTTTTGAATTCAAACTCGGACATCATCAGTCCACCGGAAAACTACTCCCATCCGAAAATCCACAAGGAAAACAGTAGCGGCGACGGTGGGGATGAACCTCCTGGAAATTCTTAATCGAAAAAAAGACTCTTTCTAAAAAAACGAAACTTGGTAGACTGTAGAGAGAATATTCAAATTAGATTTAAGTGAGATTTTAGTCAGTCAATTTAATTTAGAGGCTTTAGAGACTAAGTAAGAGAAAAAATTAAATTTACTAGCATAAAGATTAAGGGTTTAACGGTAAAACTGTGTTTTGAGTGGTTGAAAATGGCGTCAAGACGGTTTTCTATGTAAATTATCAATATTTGGGAATTTCTGGTATTGATCCTGCTGAACGATAATAAGAAGTTCAGAATATACATTATTTAGGCTGTATTCCGTTGCACAACCAGGCGAACCAGACCGGTAAACTACGGTAAAGAGCGGTTCCTGAAAAACATCGGTTTGATACGGAACGGTTTGGTAAAATACTGGAAACGTCAAATGTTGACGTTTTCAAAATTTCAATACCTCTATTATAAAATTTATCTTTTATGCATTTTTAATGTACCTATTCTCTGCTTTTACGTTTACTTCTTCTTTTCAATGGAGTTTAATATTGAAAAGTACTTTATTAATAAACTGTTAAACTCGTTAGACAGCTCAAGTGAAGATTTGCAGGTCGAATATTAAAACAGATCAATAATAAATAAACAAATCTAATCAATATTTATATTTTTATAGCTTACAAAACATTCACGATTACTTGTTGTCTTGTTTTTCATGTTTTCTTTAAATGGTCCTAAAAAGTCCGAGTATAATAAAAAACGGTCTCCTACATTTTCCCTATAACTTTAAATATAAAATGACAGCGATCTTCAGCATAAATCTTCAGTTCCAAGCCACCTCTGACGCAGTTTTTTTCGATTGTGTGGTATAATATATATGAAACATCTCAAAAGTTGCAAGCGAACTATTTTATAAATACATTTTCTAAATCATAGATATAATAATATTAAAATAGAGAGTTCTTAGAATTGGAGCCGTCGCATTGGATGTTAGTGTGAAGTAAAAAATATAAACAGTCCCATTGTGCATAATAAATTATCAGTTATATCTTAAAGTTAAGTCCGAAAGTATAATACAAATATATTTTTTTATTATAAAATATATCATGAACTTGGCAACATTGCACCAAAATGCCACGTATATAAAGAATCTGGAAGAACAGCTTTTAGCGTAGACCCATTTTGAACCACTCCAAACGCGGTTTTACCATGTATAGTTGAGACGACCAAAGATTTTTTCCAAACAGTCTGACATTTACCAGTCAGACGTGTCAAATGACGAAAAGAAAACGTTTTGTGATGTAACAAAAACCCTCTTTAACGTGTAGTCTTTTTGACGGTTGTACTTTACTTGACTTATAAGGCTGGCCGCACAGTGGAAGCGTCAACCTGCGAATTTCAGAACGGATGAGATTAGCGAGAACAGAATTATCACTATCGCAACTTAAAAAATTCTTGTGGAAATAAGTATCTTCCGAAAGATGTTGAGATTCACCAAATTCGTTTCTTTTTTTAGTATCTCATTCACCTATACTCTACACTTTTGTAAATAATTGTCGTAAGAAGGTATTTTCTAGAAAATATAAATCCCAAACTGATACTTTAGCTATTCTCGCAACTTTTTATCGCAGTGACTGTGCGATCTCAACGCATGTAAAGACTGTTCAGTCATCGTTCAACGTTACGTTATCATTATTTGTCATAGAGAGTTTTAGGATGTGTCTGAGATCAGTTCATATTGTTTAGAAAATTTTAAGTACGTTCCTATATTATTGATTGAGCGAGTTCCGTTTTTTTTCGGCATTTATTCATATTTTGTTGAACTCTTCATCAGTTACGATCCCATTAGTTCCAATTCTTTGGACTATTAAAATTCCTATTTCTAAAGCATCAGCAACTCGCTATATTAGTTAAAAATCTATCAATTTATTTTTCTATATAGGAATATTACACTTTTGCATTGTACTTACTTCATGTACGGCATCCACGGGCAAGAATGAGATATCAGCTTCTCTTTCTCGAGAAAAGTAATTTATAAACTTAGCAATGAGCTCTTGTTCATTTTGGTTAAATCTTTGAGGCATGTTTGTAATAGAAACTTTTGAATTTTGTTTTACAGCAACAATCAAATTTTAATTTTTGCATTGATCGCTGTCCTTCAACAAAATTATAACCTCAAATCAAATGACAATGACATTTACTAAAAACAATGTGCAGTAACTCACGAAATGGCGTAATGACGTCACCAATCTCTTTCATCTGGTTGTCAAGTGATTGAGAGAGTTCGACAATAAATGACGTGACGTTGAACGATCGCTGAACATTCTATATACGCAAGATTATAAATTCTGACTATTCCGCGCGTTGCTATAATTCGCATCCCCTGTGAGTGAGGCCTAAGGCTCAAATTTCTTTTTAGACAATCAGGAATTAATTTCGTACGAAGAAACAAACTAACTGACTTCAACGCGTTACCTCATAACCATTATTACTCATATTCATTCCAAAAATTCGTTGTTTCGTTTTTACTCGAAAGTTTTTAACAAAGGGACTACATATTTCTCAGTAACTGTATCATATTGTACGTGTAATTGTAGTTGAAAAGGTAATAATATTGAAATTATTTTCTTATAATTAATAGAGGAAAAAGGAACTAATGTGTGGTGTGACGTAAGGTCGAGTTATTAGTATATATCGTGCCAATTTTTGTACTCGTTTGAACGTTAGGTTTTGTTATTAAGTTTGAATAAGATACATAATCAAAAAGAAAAAGACAAGAGAGTTTAATATCGAGAAAACGAAGGTAAAAGAAATAATTAACATCCGAAGTTAAGCGACGTTAAACGGTGCGAGCGGATGGACGGGCGAACATCTGGAAACTCGGTCGTGCTGTTGTTCCATAACAGGAATGTTCATTCACGAGGTCGGATGAGATCGAACATCTCCTGAGTAATGATATGGCCAAGGACCGTAGTTCGGATTCCGCGTAAACAAAGTAGGCCCCGTCCAGGTCAACCTTGGCAGCAAAAAAGAGATGTTAAACACCAATTTGAACTTTTTTTGGTAAGAAATACAGCAGAAAACATTGTGATATGACATTTGTTCAGATGTTAAACTCTCCAGTGACGTAGAATTGTATAGATTTAAGTTGGAACTTTAGGTTTTACAAAGTAATTTTATTTCATTTTTAAGAAAAATAGTGTAAAAACAAGGAGACAAATCATCAGTTATAAAAATCTGGATCTTGTAATTGTACTAATGTAATTTATAAGTTTAAAATGTATGTGTAATTTTGTTGCAGGTTTCCTTTTCATATGCCACCACAAAACATCCCCCTTTAGAATTTTGATTTATGTCATGAAATGAAAGTAAAAGAAGCGCCCCCTTGAGTTTGTTCGCGCACTAAATTCATGAAATAGCGATCTCTATATTTAATTAATTTTTTTCTTGAATATTACAGAAACATTTTTTTAACTGTAAAGAAATAGCTATATTAAAATTACATTAGAATATATATTAAAAATTGTAATTTACATATAACATATAATTTAATTTTAATATTTATCACAATAAAAAATGTTTATATTAGTACCCGATCGTACGTTTATAACAATAAAACAATTATTGATGTTATTATAAATTATGTATTTTACATACCTATAAAGTGAAAAAAAAACGAAAAAAACTGCCATTTTTGTTGTCGCAATTAGGAACGCTACAGTTCTTTTTCGCAGGTTTGCGTTCTCGGTCGAAAAAAGCCATTCCAATTAAATATGAATAATTAAAATAAAATGTACTTGGTAAAATAAGTACAAGTATACCAGTAATTAATCAGGAAATTGTCAAAATCACACACCGAATATTCACAAAACACAACGAAATAAAAATATTGACATATTTAAAAAACAAATGAATATTTGTTAATTTTTTAATGACTAGCAGCGCCTCTAGTGTTTGTTCGCACAGTATAGCTTTTACTTCCGGTCATTGCCATTACTAGAAAATGTTCTAAAGGGGGATGTTTTGTCTATGCCAGTTGAACTGACCAACAAAATGACTTTTTATCAATATTCTAGCTTTCAGGGAAATACATATTTGATCTGTGGTGACAAATCACTTAAAGAAGAACGGCACTAATTTTTAAATTTTCATACATAAAATCTTATTTTTCCTGTAAAGTTCATTATAATCAAATATTCTCATATTTATTGCGTTTGAACTTATGAAAAACGTATGATAAAAAAAAAAAACGGCGTCAAATGGCTTGGAATAACATCGATCTTCATTTCCAAGCCAATTCTGACGCCGTTTTTTTTTCGACCGCATAACATTTACTTTACAGGTAAATAAATATTCTATAAAATATTATTAATTTTAAAAATGTAGCTTAAATGTTGGTCTAAAATTTAAAATAAAATTATTCATAATTTTTCATGTTACATTAATATTGTAATGTAAGTTTTAATAATACCGACGAAGGAACTAAACATATTTGCGGTGCTATTTTTTAATATGTTATAAAAATCACTCGGTTTTTCGAAATCATTGCACCTTTTTTTAAAAAAAATATTTTTAAGCTTTTTTACTTAGATTTATATACTTTTTTCTTATAGAAAAAAACTTTTTTTATAAAAAATATATACCTGATTCGTTTCTTAAAAAAAAATTAACTAATGTGAAGTAATCTATATTTATATATCTACAAAATACTAAATGAGTTACAGAAACTTCAAGTTAATTTGCAGTATTGAAAAGATCTAACTTTTTGGAAAAAAAAACAATTTAAAACACCCCTATATTTTATTATAGCGTATGATCGAAAAAAAAAGACGTCAAGTTGGCTCGGAGACGATTTGGATACGACAGCGATTATTTCCAAGTCAACTCCGACGCCGTTTTTTTTTCGATCGTGCGGTACTTATCTGTACGATTGTTTTTATATTATTAATTTGTGACTTTGTGAGATTAGATTTGTGTATTTTTAAGTTAGTTTTTCTTAACGTTATTTTAGAGGTGTACTAGTCATATATCTGATATATTTATAATCTTATTTATGTTATATACAAAGTAATGTATTTTCCCATGCCTGGTCATTATATCGAACTGTCTAGGCCAAATACAAAAATATAAATATGTAAATAATAAAGTTTTTGATTTCAACTTTGAAAAAAATAGGAAATAGGACAATATGATAATTTGACCACTCTAAAGACACGTTTTTTATGTATAGTCTGTCCAGAAAGAGAATATATGATTTTGACAGAAGACTACAAATGCAATTTTTAATTAAAATGATATACATCAGTATCACTAAATATAACTATTCAAGAACACTAAAGTACGAGAGCTAGCAACGTCGGAAAAACAAGTATTTTAAGACGTCTGGCTCTTTGATATATCTTTTACTATGCTCTCTAGAACAGCATGCGGCCCGTCTGGCTGCCGGTAAACTTTGCGTTCCCTACTGCGCATTGAGAGAAGATCCTATATTTGTATTATTTCTTTAAATTCTAGTAGTGAATATAAATCGAACATGTCTCCATAGCGCAGTGCGTAGAGTTTCCGACCACGAACCGATGATTCAGAGTTCGAATCCGGGTCAGGACAAAGACTTTTTTATTTTATTTTCGTTTATATTCTGATAGTAAAGTATTAAATATATATTTTTTTTTGAATTGCCAGAATTATTTAATACTTTACTATCAGAATATAAACGAAAATAAAATAAAAAGTCTTTGCCCTGACCCGGATTCGAACTCTGAATCATCGGTTCGTGGTCGAAAACTCTACGCACTGCGCTATGGAGACATGTTCTATTTATATTCAATACTAGAATTTATAGGACTAAATTAATAAAAAATATAGGATCTTCTTCCGATGCGCAGTAGTGAACGCAACGGGTATCGGCAGCCAGACGGGCCGCATGCTGTTCCAGAGAGCATAGTAAAAGATATATCAAAGAGCCAGGCGTCTTAAAATACTTTCTCGAAAACGTTGCTAGCTCTTAGACTACTAGTTTCTTTAGGATATACTTCTATTAGAATGTCAACGGTTTATAACAGACGTATTTCCTAAAAAACTGAAGATATCTAGATTTTTTAAAGAGGTTTCTTTGTTCTTTGTGTTTTTTTTATTTTTTTGTCCGTTAGGTAAATTGTTTTATTAGTAACATACCATTGACAAATTAGTCTCCGTTGGATCAACGCCCAGTGGTGTTTACAAAAAATAACTTTTTTATTTTGTAGATTTTCTTCTAGTGGCAACTCAGAAGTCTTCAAGAAATGAACCGCCACAAAGGTAAAGACATTATCACAATATTTTTTTCATTAGACAGAGTAGATGTTTTAATTTAAAAAATAATAAGATGATCATTGAAAGCAGTGTCATCTTTAGAAAATTCCACACCTGTAATTTTTAACGAATCAAAACGTGTTTTTTGACAAAGCACCATGGCAACGGATAAATTTTAGTGAAAATTTTTTCCTTGTGGGCACCCGCGCACACGACAGCGAATTATACTGGAAATTTTTTGACGTTTATAATAGACAGAATATATTTTTAAGAGTCTGGTTTTTATTCGTTTACATGATAATTTTGATACATTTCAATTTCCTAGTATTCGCGGATGTCAACTGCTTAATCTCCTGGCGAATATTTTCTTTGCTTTCATGACCGAAACGAAACATTTTTTTTAAGCCGTGCCGCTTGACAGCTTCAAAACTAAAATAGTTTTTAGGTTTGGGTGTCACTTAGTTGTCACAGTAACTAAATAATCAATTCGACCAAAAATACATTTTAATTATTTGATTTTCAAACACAATTTGGTGTGGAATTTTCTTACCGAATACCATACGAGGTCAAATTAAATCCGGAAATTTTTTCGACCTCATGAATATTTTGAAAATTATCCGAGTCGAAGACGAGGGATAATTTTCTAAAAATATTCATGAGCGATGAGCTAGTGGCAGGGGCGCATATACGGGAGAGATAATGGGGGTAATTACCCCTCCCAGAAAAAAAATTATAAATAAGAAAATCTGGTATAAAATAAAATTGTCACAAAATAAATTAATAATGTCAATCAAAATAGAAGTCCAGAACAATCTTAGTTTATTTTTTTCCATATAGTCACAATACCTTTGAGCGAAAATTTATAATATTATTATATATATTTATAAACGTGTTACTTTATTTAAATATTGTCTAGTGGTATTACTAGTGAGCCACTGTCTAGTGGTATTACTAGTGAAAATTTTCTAAAAGGATGACATGAGCATCATTTATATTCCATACCAATTAAATTTTTAGTTATGTAATCGAGAGCGCGATTTTTAAATTCGTTGTTGCCAACCATGGACATATTCGGCGCCGGGCTGACTAACTGAAATTTAAATTTCCCGCTGGGGATTCAGGTGGTAACTCTGCTGTAAAAATGTCAAATTGCCACATATTTATTTATTTACTGACATTGTCATTCGTTTTGACACTTTAATTTTGTATTGCGAGTTTTTGGCTTAAATGAATTATGTTGTGATACTTTTAGCTTAAAAACTTTACTAGCAGACCGTGCAGTCGAACATTGTTCTTTTTAGAACCTCTTTTAGTGCGAAGTATACAAGATAGCTTAATAGCCAATGCAAAAAACTCATCGCAACCTTATTAGAATATTTTGAACGGGAAAGCGGTAGTAATGACCCTCTATGTCCCTTAAGTGCCGTCAAGGAGGTGAGTTTTCTTGATGTAAATAATAACTGTTTATGTATTTATAATTAATTTATTTTTGTTTCCGAAAATGTTTTGATTCAAAGAAAATATGGGCAACGCTGTGCCGGTCAAGCTTAATCACGTGACTTTGGTATGATCTATATGAATAGTTTTATGTATAAACATTTATTAACCTTATAATTTCAAAAATTATTATTATTGCAATTTAAATTCTTATACAAGTAAGTAAAAAAAAACTATACAATATAATACATAAAAATAAATAGAATAATACTTGACTGTTTTAAAACTATACAAAATAATATCATCTGAAAATCTGGTTGCAACTTTAAACAAAATTAAAAGTTGTGTAGTTTGGTAAGTTCAATTTCTTTCACGCCCATTTCATTAATTTCCATTTCATGTTTGTGCCAGTCGTCGGAAATCTCCGACTTTGCCAGAATATGGGCCTTTTTGTGTTTTTTCAAGCTACTGGAATCGTAAAATCCTCTACCGCAAATATCACAGAGATAAGGGGTTTCACCGGTGTGTATCCTTGTATGCACCACAAGATTGCAACTGAAAAACAATAATCAAAATTTTGAAATATGATGGGCATGTGATGGTATAAAAACGACGTCGCAATAGGTGTAAAAATTGAGCTTTACTATGGTTCTCCCCTTTGAATAAAAAGATTAAGGAAGGATAATGCCTGTGATAATGCTATCCATGTATTCATGCATGGTGGGCGGAAAAAGGACTCTAGGGTGGGGATCCTTGACAGTTCTGTTAAGAATAAGAGGTGTCTTTACATACCTTTGTTTAAACGTTTTAGGACAGAAAGTACATTTAAAGGGCCTGTCTGCGGTATGTTGCCCCTTAATATGTGTGTTTAAGTGAGCATGTTGCCTAAACTGCTTGTTACATATATGGCAATTTAATGGCTTTTCTCCAGTATGAATCTGAAAAAAAAAACAAGGATATACATACTATACGATAAAAAAACGACGTCACAGTGGCCCTTGAAATGATAATCAATTATACTCTCAGTCAGACCAACCCACAGTGGTTTCCAGATAGGTCATTACTTAGAAATATTAATTTCAAAATGTTTGCATGCAACTGTTGCTAATACTTTTCCTATATTCCCCTGTAAACGATACATCATAAATAACAAAATCAAGTAAGCCTAGCGAAGCGCTTTTTTTATTAGAAATGTCACAGAAATTCATTATTTTCATTAGAAATGTCAGTTTTCAGATAACGCCAATTCATTACTTATTTTATTAAAATTGATAAAAGCTGTTGCCATTTCTGTAATGGACGTTCGAAAAGAAGGTAAAAAGAACTGTTTTTTCTTTTTTGCACTTAATTAAACCTAAGTAATATTAGTTTATGGCAATTTATTTGACGGCAACAAAAATAGTATTTCTACATTCTTGCTTGTCACTCTTTAAGACTTTTAACTACTTTCCATTTCAAATCCTCTTAAACGGCATGATAATACTTGTTGCTTAAAGTATATTGCATATAAATTAATTGCCACTGGCTGCCGCGAATTGCCGCCGGATCTTATACCGTATGGTTATCTCGGGTGGTTATTTGACACCTCTTCGTGTCAACTTATTTCGTGAACACACTGTATATCAATTGACAATAAAATTGTATTTACAAAATGAAACAACTGTCTCTTTTATTTTTTCAACATTTAAAATAAATTTGATTTGAGTAGTTAGAACTTAAAATGCAAATCACACGAACTGGACCCAATTTTTTTAATACATATTACATTAAGTTTTTTATATACATTTATTTAGCATTTGTTATCAATTTCTATTAAAAAAAGTGCAGTCAAGCTATATCTAGATATCTAACAGTTATGACTGCGCATCTAATTAAGGGGAACCACTGTGCAACCCCTGTATATCACTTATTAAAAATTGACATAAAAATTTAAAAAGAATTAATATTTAAAAACAAAAAAAAATAGTTTTCTGAAACATTCACACTCAAATTCAGTAAAAATTATTTTTTCAAAGGGACCATTGTAGTACAGTTTTTTATTTAATCATAATTTTCTAATTACCAACTTACCAAGCTATGTGTTTTCAGTGAAGGATAAAATCTAAATTTTTTTCCACATAAAACACAACTATAATTTTTTTCTCCAGTGTGTACCATTTGATGGTGTTTTAATATAGCTTTAGTTGAATACCTGTTACCGCATATATTACAGAGGTATGCTTTAGGTACTAAAATATAACTCCTATTACATTCTAACATAAAAAGAACAAAGAATAAGTACTTACCTTCATGTCTTAACTTATGTACTTTAAAACTAGACCTTGTTCTGTAAAAATTCCCACAAATTGGACATTGATATGGAGATTGACCCTCAATTTTATGTCCATTCGTTACCAGATCATTTACTTCATTTTCTACATTTTCTTTTTTACTATGCATATTTACTATATGTCTGTTTAAGAAAAATTGATGCTTAAATGGCCTTCCACAAGTCGGACAAAAAACATTTTTTTCTTTGTTATGTGCAGCTACCAGATGAATTGCAAGACTTGAGTGTCTCAAAAAACCTACAAAGATATTTATACATCTAGATCAATATAAATAAAAAAATTCCTACCTTTTCCACAAATTTCACAAGTATGTGGCTTAACTTGTCCGTGAATTTTTAAATGCCTATTAAGATTGCTTTTCTCAGAAAAACAAATACCACATTTCTCACAACTGTACGGTTTCTCTTTGGTATGTGTTCGCAAATGGCTGGACATTTTGTAAGTTAGTATTAATTTGCCACAGTGCTTACAAATATCTTTTCTTCTCTGCACTTTTCTTTTTTTTGGATTATTGCTATTGTCATCGTTATGTTTTAATTGTTTAATCCGTTTCTTACGTAGTGTAGGTTTACTAGAATACTCTACATTATTTTGATGTTCAAGAATAGTGTTTTGATTATTTTGTTCAAGTTTCAGTCTCGTTGAAAGAGGAAGATCATCTGCGGATTCATCCTCACTATTATTATCAAAAAAATTATTAGTAGGCCATTCGTCTTCTTGTTTATAAAAAACTTCATTTGATTCGGATGGATACTGTTGTATTTGAGCCTCTTTCAACTTCAGCAACACAATTTCTAACGTCCTTTCTGAATCTAAAGCTCTAGTTTTGAATATATCAAATTTAACGACTTCATTATAGCAATTAGTGCATATTTTCTTAGGTAAAAGATCCTCAACGTTAACCTGCAAATTAAATTACTAATGTTACAAATTAGCTAGATCAGTATAAATTAAGTGTACCTCAACAGAAGTTACGTTAATATAAATTTCCAAAATTTTTCTCTCATTGTAATAGCCCTCAAAATCGAAATAGTCGTTGTGAACTTCTTGTAAACAAGTTCTGCAAATTTTGTCCATACCATTTTGTGAAACTAATTTCAATATATCTTCAGTTTTTTCATTCATCTCGAACTTTTCAGTTTTGTTCCTATTTCTATGTATTTAATTTAAAAAATATATATACAATAAACAATAATTTACAAATCTCAGCAAATGTCCACAGATTAAAAGATTTGAAGGATTATCGATTTATTTACTTTTTATTAGAAATGCTTAAAAAACATCGAGACTCTCAGAACATCGATAGTATTCAAGTTTATTTTTTACATTGACCAGAAATAAAAAGATAAAATGGGTAATTAAATTGAATATGAAGTCAAAGAATATACTACGATATGAAGTATACCAAGCAATTTGTATTAAAAATGAGTAGAATATGATGTGTATTAAATTGGTGCTTTTGAGCCGTCTATTTGTTGCCCTTGCTCATAGATACTACGCATGCGCGCTTTGTTAATGTTGGCGTAACTCTAGAAGTTTATTATTTAAATTTTAATCAAAGATACAAGGTCAGAGAAATATTTCTAAAGCTTTATATTTTTTTCTAAATAACAAATATTTCTCTTTTTAAATCCACAAGATTCAAAAACACCATTTTTAGTAATGGATTGTGATTGGTCAGTACAGAATTGTCATTTGAATTTTTACGCCTGTGTTGCCAAGATGCAAGTGAAGTCCTGAAACTAATCTAAATTAATATTTGTGTAAGTATAAAACAAATTGAACTGTTACGAAATTATGATAAATCTAATAAACATATAATACAGATATGGTTTCAATCTTTATTGAGTAGAATAAATAATATTTTTCTTTTAAACAGAGCATTATTTATACAGCAAAAAATGATTATTTTGTTTTACATGTGTTCAATCTGACAACGTTGACACTTGTACATTTTTCGTTGTTAGCTGCATGTCGTTATGTCGCTCTACAATTTTTCCGATTTTTTAATGGAAAAAGTGATTTTTCTGTACACTATTTGAGCGTATTCTGTTCTTTAAGGCCTGTTTAATCTCCTGAAAATGTAAGTACGCATTATTTTATATGCTTTCAATAGTTTTTTTCGCTTTAATATATTGCAATTACATCATCATTAAAACCTGATACATTTTTCCTATTTTTATAATTTTCTTTTTTTAAATTGAGTATATGGAAATATAGATGCTCTCCTTGATGACCCTATTGTGCATTAAAAATATAGTTACTTAGATTAATGCGAAATATTTCGAGATATTTACGACCATTTTTTTTGCGTAGAGTTGTTTTTCCTCTTAAATTCCTCTTAAAAGGTAATTTTTTCGGTGCTGTACAGGCAAACAAGCATTTTCTACGTTGTTAAGAATAAGTAGGTGTTTGTATACCTAAAGGGGCCCCCATTCTCAATTATATAATATTTTCAGATAAAATAAAATTCATTCACATATGTTTTATATTACATTATCGTTATATTTTTGTTAAAATTTTGCATTGTTTTAATATTATGTTTAATTATAATTTTCTTTTTTAGGAGGTGTCACCCCTTGTATAAACCTGATGTTTGGGCATCATTCTGTTTTACAAGTTGGTCTTCCATTTACTGATTAAAAGTAAGTTTAATTTATTTTATAAAAATAATTTTAATTATTATTAAATGTTTATTAACTGACTAACTATAGTTTTTAAGTTATATTTAATGTTAATGAAACTAGTGTAATAAACATAAGGGTTACAGCATAATTAATCAAATGTAATATCTATTTCTGTTGTTACAGGTTTTGTACAACAAATCGATGGATGTATACAGTTCCAGGGCAGTACATTTATCTTTTTATTCTTAATCTAAGCATTTATCCCATTTTCGTGAATATTACCATCAACAATGCATCAGGACTTCTAAGTATATCTAGAATTTTATTTTTTTTTGGGTAAATAAATATATTTTTACTGATTTTTAAAGCTCATCAGCGCATTTCATCATTTTTAAATTTAATTATGTAGGAGAAAAAATCCAGTTGGTCTCTGAGTTATATATTTATGGTTCCTTATTATCATAGACCATCTATTTTTATTTGGGGCCATATTTTGACTTTTAGCAACTTCTTTTTCTTTTTGGTAGAATACCATCTACTTAGAACCTCATGTTGTTTTTGGTTTACTTTCATTTCATAATAGCTTGACTCCCATATTTTCTTGATTGTGGAAATAATATCATCAATTCTATGCAATAATTCCATTGACTGTATTTCTGTAGTTCTTATTAATTTGGTAAAATATACCATGTACTTAGAATTTTACTTCATTTTGTGCATGGTTAATTATCATTCTTTGTTATACCTTGCCTCCCATATTTAATTGTTTGTGGCAATAATAAAATTAGAAAAGTAAAACACTTATTACTTTTCTAATTTTTTGCACAGATATTTAGTTTTAATGGATTCATTTTTATCTCATTGTTACAGATGATATATCATGAATTGCTGTAATTTTACAGACGCTGTTGGTTTGGTGTGCCTGTGTTTTCAAATTTCAAAATAAGGACTAATTTCCAATTAATTTCTGGCGCATTCGCCATTTATTCAAAAATCTGTCTCTACAGCTTATATCACTTCTCGCATTATTTCCAATGTATTTTCCTAAGTAACATCGACTCCAGAGCATCATAGCTAGCCTCCCCGAAGAGGAGGAGACCCGGGTCACCCCCTAACCCGGTTGTTCGGGCATCGATGACCTATGTAGCATGCATAGGTACCCAAGGGAGTCACCACCCTCTGGTTTACGAGCTAGGTGTTCTAACGCTAGAGGCTTCGGCCGGATACGACCTGGCACCCAAGCTACGAGACTTCTTCGTGCACGTATCCCGTGACGTCTCGACAGTAGAGGGGACGGGATATCGGACACATTGAAGATGATGAGGGGGGTCCGCCTGTAGGGGGTCCCGGTGGATGTCCGCTCGATGGGTGACGAGGGTGACCCGAGACGAGGCTGCTTAGCTGGGATGGGAACTGACTGGTGAGGCTTAATCGTCGGCCAAGGGTTAAATCTGATGAAGGGGGGCGAACCTATATGCTCTGGAGGTTTTTTTCTTTATGTGCTTTACGTCAAATATTGACTAGACATTTCTGAGAGGAGGATAATAATAACTTTTTGTCAGTTTTCCAGTTCTGATTGACCAAATACTTCTTTATTTTTTTCTTATGCTTTTGGCCCACCTCTGTTATACAGTTTTTGTCTGCTATATTTTCTTTGTTATTGCAATATCGTCATTCATTACTTCTATAAATTCTTCCAGTAATAGTCTTATTTGTATGTTTTTTTGTCATTCTTCTGTGACTTTTCGAGCACATATTTTGTCAGTTCTATTGCCTGTATATAGCATTATAGCTTTTTTATTTATTTTTATGCCATTTTTTCTTAATTCATTCCTCATTTTTTTCGTCTATCCAATTCATCATATCTTTGTTTCACTATTTGTCTTCCATATTGTCTTCATTATGGGAATATGCCATCATTCATCAATTCTATAAACTCTTCCACTGATTGTATTTCTAAGTCTTCTTATATGTATATAATTACATATATAATTTTTGTGTTACTCTTCGGAAACTTAAGTTCATTACTCATACGTTTTTTTTTTCAATTCCACATGCCTCTATTTCTGTATTTGTCTCTCATATTATTCTCTTCAAGAATGAAGTACCCAAGGGAGTCACCACCCTCTGGTTTACGAGCTAGGTGTTCTAACGCTAGAGGCTTCGGCCTGATACGACCTGGCACCCAAGCTACGAGACTTCTTTGTGTAAATTATCAATCATCATTTACTTATATATATTTTTGTTGTATTGGGCCATTCTGTGGCAATACTTCTCTAAAGCATTTTCTTTATTGTCTATTGCAAGGTTATTGCCTATATAGTAATTTTTGAATCATTTTCATGACTTTCCGTTCATCATATACTCATCATTCAGAATAAAACTAAATTTATTTTTTTCTATGTTGGTTAATTGTAATTCTAAACTTCTTCTATTTGTATTATTGTTTATTTTACTGCTATTCTTCTAAGACTTCCAAGTCTTTGATCTCATTTCTATTGATGCCTACATAAATTGTATAATTTTGGATTCATTTTCTTGTCGATTTTCTTTTCATTCCTTTTAAAATTGAGCTTTTGTATGCGATATTGTACTGCTTTGGAACAAGGAATTTTTGGGACAGCTGCCGTTCAACCACCGTGTTCAATATGTCAAGATAGTTGAAGTAAATTCAACATTCAACAGCGGATTAAGAATGAAATTCATCATTGAAAGGGAAACTAAATAATTTTAGGTAAATTATACTGAAAAGTGTTTTTTTAAGTCGGGTATATTTAATAAATACCTAATAATTATTGTATTTTTTTAAATATGTAGATATAAATGATAAATTTCAAATAAAATACTTCGGCGGGCGTTGTTAACTGTGTTATAGGCAACTAAAAATACATTATAAATTTGCAATTTAATTTTATACTAGTTGAATGCTGGCGCATCCGCCACGACATGAGAAAAAAGAATACTTATTTTCTTATTTTCTTTTAAATTAACGACAGTTTTTAGAAGAGCCAATTAACCATCTTTTAGTAAAAAAATCAACTTTCTAGGGCAAGTCGTTACTTCAGTAGAGACGACACAGATAAAAAACATTAGCATTTTATATATGTAGATAAAGAGTTTGATTTTTTTAATTTAGTTTTGAACATCTTTTTTAATTATTATAATTCAAATATTTCTCAATTACAGATACAAATTAATTTATCTATGTTTTTTGTTGTATTACTATTAAAAAAAGTTGTGAGTGAAAAAAAGTGTTAAGAAAATTTAAATACATCTTTTATAATATTTTATGTGCCCTATAAATTAACTGGTTATTTGAAGTTACAAATAATTAATTATTTCTTTATACTTTTATTACAGAATCAAGACTTTCCAGAAGGCTTTCTAGAAGATTTATTTATTTCCACATATCCAGAGACATCGGCAATCAGCATATTCTTCAATACCTTGGAGTTTTAACATATACTTTTTTATTCACTCTTAATAAAATGTTTTATGTTAGTAAACAAAAATGAAGGGTCTAGGGGAAAAAGTGCCAATTTCTTTATTTTAGGATTTTACAATATTATAGTAGGTTTAACTGGCCCCTACAAAATGTATAAATTGTGCAGGGCAATAAGTTACCGGAATCCTATGATATATGCCTAGTAAAAATATAGAATACACGGCAATAACCTGATAGCTACCAGCCGTCCCAGTGCTCTCCTGTAAAATTACTGAAATGGTGCCAGCGAGTTTTTACCCTGGACCCTTCAAATTATATTTTAGCTGTAGTTTAAAATATTGTTTATAATTTGGAAAAATTCCTAGTGTAAGAATATGTTTTACTATATTTCTTTTAATTATAGATAAAAAATTAAGTATGTAAACATAACTGCCGTGTTAACGTAAAACTTCTTATCTGATTTGTTGAACAAGTTTAGATCTTTCTGATTTATATTTCTAAATAAGGTATACTTTTTATCTCAATCCTAGTTAAGGCATTTTTTCTTAACACAGCGATGACTAAGAAATGAAGATGGCTGTCATTTTATATGTAAAATTATATGGGGAATGTCATCGATGTTCATTTCTAAGCCAACTGGACGCCGTTTTTTTCCGATCATACATACAGTACTAGTGTAAAGAAATTCATGTAGCCTTGTAAATGTAATGAAGATACTTTTGAAGGATTAAAGTCCATAGTTTATAACTTATATTGTGTAGAATTAGAATATAATATAAATAAAAGCATTAGGAATTAATTATTAGACTCATTATATAGCATTTATTTACCCTGTCACTTGATGGTAACCTTTATAATAAACATATGTATAAATATTCACCATGAATGTCATATTTGAATGTTTTTTAATAAATATATTAATATATTAAACATGAGGTTTACTTACAGCAAAATTCCTTTACTATAACAATAATTAAAAGAAAACAATAATAAGCTCTTATTAAATATAACAAGAAAAAATAAAACAGCAACCCAAAATATATAATGGCATACTAAAAATTTAATCGCAATATATACGTTAAGAAATATGAGTCTGAAAAATATATCCTTTCTGTTCAAAATGGAATTTTTGATGACAAAAATGCACAAACCAAAAATATAATACCAATATAAAATACCCTACCCGTTAAAAAATTTGATCTTATTACTTGTTCAAAATGAAATTTTTAATGACAAAATAAGTAAGATTTGGTTGCCCAGTACGAAATTTTTCAACACCTGGAATAAATTTTTAACACTACAGAGAAACGCTGAATTTTGTTGACTCTAACACTTTGACCTCGTTTTCGAAATTAAAACGCTAATAACTCCGTAACTAAAAGAGCTATCGGGGCGCGCTTGGCGCCAAACGATAAAGAATTCAACCCTCTATCTGTATACAAAATTACAACCCCCTACGACACCCTTTATTTTTTGGGCCAAAAATTTTCTAAGGTTAACCCCTTTGCTCATTTTTGCTCCAAAAAATAAAGTTTGTCGTAGGGGGTTGTAATTTTGTGTACAGATAGAGGGTTGAATTCCCTATCGATTGCGACTTAGCGCGCCCGGATATCTTAATTAGTTTTTGAGTAATTAACGTTTTTGTAAACGAGTCTAACTGTTTGAGCTCGTTGGCCAACGATTTCCGAATTAATTCAGATGACAAAAATATTTTTAAAAATGCTCATTTTTGATGCTAGATGTGACTGTTTTGAGGTAAAAGAAATCAAATCTTTATAGAATCTCGTATGGTTCTAGACTATGAGAGTGTATATGTTATTAAATTAATGTACTGATATTAAAGGCGACTAGATTAATAATATTTGTTGAATTTATTTTTAAATATTTTAATGTTTGTTTTGGCAACCAATAACAGTTGCTTTAAATTAAGAGACTATTCTAAGGATTCAAAGGAAACTACTTGAAAACTTTATTAAGATTTATTATAAAAAGATTACTTTATAAATACAATTAAAACATAGTTAATAAGTCCTTGGACTGCTCGATGATGCTTCTATAGAATTTTCTTTCCGATTTATACCGGATGTTCATTATTTCCAATAATTTGCAAATATATCTGAAACAAAAATAAAAAAAGTATTTATACAGAGAAAAAACGGCGTCAGCGATGGGTATGAAATGAACATCAATGACATTTCCCATATAAATTTACATATAAAATGACGGCGATCTTCATTTCACAGCCATCGCTGACGCCGTTTTTTTTCGATCATATGATATTTTCATTACTCAAATATTTTTTTACAATATATTAGGACGATGGTAGCATCACAGAACAGATACAAATCTGTTCTGTGAAAATTTGTATCTGTTCTGTGGTAGCATATATACAATTTTAATTATTAATATATCATTTTCATATACAGGGTGAATCAAATATATTTTACACTGAAGTCAATAGATTTTAAATGGAATGCTGTAGTTTTTCACTGAGTGGATTTGCAATGCAGTTTGTATTGAATAAATACCCTATGGTCGAAAAAAAAAACGGCGTCAGCGATGGCTATGAAATGAAGATCGCTGTCATTTTATATGGAAAATGTCATTGATCGTTATTTCCCAGCCAACTGGACACCGTTTTTTTTAGATCATACGGTACCTGACATACTATACTAAGTACCTGATATACTATGCTTAGAATATGACAATTTTTAGATTAAATTTTCTGTTCCATTTAAAGCCTTTTTGAAGCTGTAACATTGTAAATAATTGACGCTTTTCAAAAATATTCAAAGTATATGCTAAGTAATTTGTTTAAGCTTTGTATATACAGGATGCCAAAACTAGATACATTTTTAAAATACTATTTGAATGAAACACCCTCTAGAGATTTTATCTAACTTTATGTTTTGATAAACACTTTCTATTTTATAGTATGGGTTGGAACCTCTGGTGTTACAACAGCAAAATAAAACACTAATTCATCACAGTACACCAAAACACTTCACTGTTACACAGGAAGCGTGTTTTGCTAATCATTTTCGCTAATCAGCAGATAGTTTTCTGTTGATAGTGCTAACATGGTTAGCGAAACACGCGTCCAGTGTAAAAGTAAAATGTTTTGGTGTAATTCTTATTATTATACACTAAAACAGTGCAAAATATATAATTTACCTAATACGCTGCATCTCTTCATAACAATAACAATACATTTCTAACAGTCTAACATTTCTTGAGCAGTCATTAAGAATAAAATTATTGTTAGATCATAACAAAAGGAGGTACAGTACAAGTCCATGGATTTGATGTTCGAGTCTTGTTGCCCCAGCTTTACTCTTTTTTGTTGTTACAATCGATGAGGTTTTCTTATGAAATTCTATACAGGTACACATATTCCTAAAAGAAAATCTTATTTGTTTCCATTTTTCTTGGTGTATTCTCCTTTCATATCTTCATAAGAAGCTCTTATTACGGTATTATTACATAGCTGCATCTGCAACCTTATCTGCAATAAAAAAATATTACATCTATAGATTCTCTGTTTTCAAAGATTTACACAAAACACGAAAATTGATAAATAATATTACAAAATAGTAATAAAGTATATTATATAGATCGTACATTTTAATTTAACCGGTAGATTTGTTATCAAACTGAAAATAAACTCTTATTTTACTTTTTTATTATAAAAAAATATATTTTCTAAGGTTAGAATCAAATTTAGTATAAAATTTTATTCATAGATGGCTCTCACTAAAAACTTTTTGGGAATTAAAAATTGCAGATTTCTTTAAAATTTCCAGAAAATTATGATTAAAGTTCAGTTATTAATCGTTAGATGGCATTAGCCGTAATTTTTATTTTATAGAATTCTACAAATGACAAGTTTAAATTCTGAACCCATGATGGCGCCACAAGTAATAAAAATAGAAACCTATAATCGCTTACTTTTAAAACCTTCCGTATGGTGGCGCCATAATCGTTTTGTCGATAGTTCCGAAATTTCTCACCAAATGAATATGGCGCTGTAATCAATTGAGCGCGCTAAAAAAAAATTTAAACTTTCACGATGTTTTCTCGTCATTTTTTCACTGCAAAGTAACATAAAATACAAAACTCACCAATTGTAGAAGTTGTTTAACATTTCTCGTTGTACATTCATCATCAGTAAGTAAAGTCTAATAAATAAATAAATAAATCAATGTAGGTAAAAAATTCTCAAAAACAATGAATATAATTAATTAGTAAGTAATAACCTCATTTCTTGTTAAATTTGTAGGGTTCAGGGGAAAACTTGATAAGCGCCAATTACTTAATTTTAGGATTTTTCAATATTATAGTCGTGGGTCTAACTGGTCTCTACAAAATGTATAAACTCTGTAGGGCAATAAAGTTGTTAATTTCTATGATATAGCATAACTAGGTATATCAGCCGTCCAGTGCTCTCCTTAAAATTAGTAAAATGGCGCTTATCAGGTTTTCCCCTGGACCTTTCATTTATTATATGTTATAATAAAAATATTTCATTTTACTTCTTAAACTGTTACTATGTAAATTACAGTTTCTTACAGTTAACCATAAATAGCTGCATTCTCATTTAAAGAACATAAATAACACTAATAACAGTAGTCCTAAAAATACAATATGAGCGAAAAAAAAAACGGCGTCAGCGATGGCTATGAAATAAAGATCGCTGTCACGTAAAATTATGTGGGGAACGTCATCGATCGTCATTCCCAAGCCAACTGTACGTGTTTTTTTCGATCATACGGTACAATCTACAAAAATCAAAAGATTTTTTTCAGTACTTACAAGTTAAAAAAAAACCGGTTTCAATACTTAGATTGTGGCATTATAGCATAGGTTAATCACTTAGGTTAATCACAAAGTTTTTAAGATCTAAGTATATAAGTATTCAGTTTTAATTTAAAAATAAATGCAGTATATCTTAAATTACTAACAACTACTTACTAACAATTCAACATAGGCAGATCTTTAAAAACCTATTTACGATTTAGCTGTAAAATTACTCAGTCAATATTTACATGGGATTTCCTATATACAGGATGTCCCAGAAACAAGTGCAGATATTTTAAGGGGTGGTAGATCTGGTCAAAAGAAACATATTTTCTGGTCAAAAGACACACATTGTTAGTCAAAAGAAACAAATGTGTATCGACAGGGGGGTGCCGAGGAATTCGTCGAAAAATTTTGGAAAATCGATTTTGCTTATTTGGCAATATGTTGTAGTGCTGAATGTGTACTTTACAAAACCGTATCGTTTTTGAGATTGATACTTTTTGTTCCAGAGATATTCCGTGTTAAATGTTTCGGAAAACAGAAAAAAATATTTCTTTTGTAAATTTTCCCAATCGAAATCTGTTAGATATACATGGTGAATTATTTTATTAAATTTAGTTCTAAATAAAGTTGTTTTCCTAAAGTTGTTGTTCTTCTGCCCTGGGGAGCCCATTGAAAAACTCTTTTTGGCCACCTGTTCTCCGGCATACGCAGAACATGTCCAAACCATTTTAAGCTGGATTTTTCGATTCGATCCAGTACTGTCTCCTCCGATGCATTCATGATACGCCTGACCTCGATGTTTGTCTTTTTTTCCATCCTAGATATACCTGCACTTCTTCTAAGGTAGTCCATTCAACAACTTGGATTTTGCGCTTCGCGTCTGCACTCAGAGTCCATAGCTCTGAACCATAGCAAAGAACTGACTCCACCAATGTTCTTCCAAGTCTCTTTTTAGTTGTTGCAAACAAGTTTCGGTCCCATCAGAGGCTGTTAAGACATCCAATAACTTGTTTGCTCTTCTGAATTCGGGTTTGTATTTCTACTTTGCCCAAACCCTCGTTGTTGATAGTAGCACCCAGGTATTTAAATTTGTCTACTTGTTGAATCTGGACGTTATCATTAATGAAGACTTCAAAACAAGCGTTGGAATTGACAGCTAAGTATTCGGTCTTCTTTAGGCTAACCTGAAGTCCCCATTTGTTGTATTCTTGATAAAGCCTCTTAGTCATGAACTCTAGATCGTATGAGTCCTGCGCAATCACGACCTGATCGTCTGCAAAGTTCAGGGTAAATAGTGTGTTGTCCCCAATGGGTATTCCCATACCTTGACATTTCGTCTTCCATTCCCTAAGGGCTACTTCGACGTAAGCGTTGAAGATCAGAGGAGATAAGCTCGCAACCCTTTTGTGGTGTTAATTGGATTAGATAGCCTGTGTCCTATCTTAACGTACGATTCATTTTCTTTATATAGCTCTTTTATTATCTTAAGCAAAGGTCTATCTACTTCTAAGATATTCAATACTTCCCATACTTCCCTCATTTTGGGAAGTTTTCCAGTATAACAATGATTTTCGTAAACATCATAAAAATAATTTAACCCACTTTGGTTCTCATTGAAAAGATAAGTACAAACGAATTATTTAAAAGAATGTTTTTTTTATCGAAACTACTTTAAAAGAGTTATTTTTTAAGTATATGTAGTTAAAAATAAATATAAAAATGTGGTATGCGTAAAAATAATTAATGCGTGGTTTGTTTCTAGAATTGTTAGTAATAGACACTGATATGATTAGAATAATTGTAATTTTTTATGTACAAATTTAAAATTACAGCGAATACAAATACGTCGAATATGGATAATAAAAGTGGTGGCAACACTGCAAGGTTTTAGAGAATCCCAGGTGAATAAACAAGTGGCATTAAAAAGTTTTTTGAAAATTTCCCGAAAAATGGCAAGAAAAATTTTCAACAATTTTTTTTCGCAAATAGGTGTTTCTGGGGCCGAAATATACTACCAGTTAAAATATCTGCATTTATTTCTGGGACATCCTGTATAAATTGAACAAGATTATAAAGTGTATAAAAAATAAAAACAATAACGGATTTTTCCAGAATTTATTTTCGCATTACCTCAAGTAACAGTATTTTCATTGCACAGTCGCAACGACCGATAATTATGAAACTTAAAAAATAATGACGGCCTCGCACGCCGAAAAGGAAATAAAAACTATGACATATTACTAAGAATAAATGAGAAAAAAATTATCATTATACGGAAACTAATAACAATTATATAAGAAACCTATAATAGTTTACAACTTGGCGTATTATTATACTTTTACACACATTATTATTATTAATAATATTAATTTACACATAGTTACTTTTCGCTTGTTTAGAGTCATTGGTCGCTTCTAGATCAAAACAGACAACTTTGTTTCTGTTTTTTTTCTTTTTCTTTCAGGACAGTTAGATTTTTTAAACGACTTAAACCCAAAAAGATACAGTACTTTTTTATTTGACAAAATTCAAATAAAAATCGACTTTTGTAAACGTGCTACATTTACGGTTTTTTAAAGAACTATTTTAAAAGAAAACAAGACCTAATTTTTAAGTTTCAGTAAATTCAATTTTCTTCTAAAATCGCTAAACTTATGAACGGCTTTCCCTATACAGGATCACAGAAAAAACCAATCACAGCTATATTCTCTCGTCAGACCAATCGGTCGTTTATACAGGATATCCCAAAAAAGAACACATAACACAAGTTTGTGCATCATAGATTATTGAAAAATAACGATGTTAAAAAATGTTAGGGCATTATATCTTCGATACCAGTGTAGTGTATTCTTTTGCAGGCTACCCTGTATTATACACAAATATCCCGAAAACATTCAAAAATAACGAAAATTTTGGATATTTCTGTATATAGACACAGATGACTAATCTTTGGTTGACACGAAAAAAAATCGAGGCGTTTAAAACTAAGTTTCATGACTGATTCAGAATTTGGCGATGTTTTGACTGGACACCAAAAAAAGGACACTTATTTTTAAACGCCCAGTATACATTAACATATTTTTGCTTCGTCCGTAGCAAGACAAGTTTGATAAATTGTGTTTTTACTGTTGACCAACAGTTTTAACGAAAATTCAGTGAGAAAAACGTGTTTTTCTTGCACTGTTTTAATTTTTTTTGACATAAACCTTTTTGTACTCTATTTTCCTCACATTTATTATTTAACCAACTGAATACCAAAATATAATAAATACACAAACAGTTATGATTGATTAATAAAAGTTTTTATTTAATATTTTATCATAGCAGGTAGTTCAAACCTCCAAATTTAAAAAACTTCAAATCCATAAAAATACTTTTCTATTACCGAAAATTGCTTAAAAATACTACATAAAAACTTCTAATATTCACCATTATTCCCTTCACTAGTACTTTAATAGTACCAAATTGTACAAAAAAAACCAAAAAAATATTTTTTCCAAAAAGTAACAAAATATTCAGAGTAGTTGACTATCCTGAGAATAATCAACAATAATATAAAAAAACACAACTTATTGAGTGTCTCTATAAAGAAGTTATATACTCAGAGTAGCCAAATACGATACCTTTCACAGATTTATACACAGTACTTGTGAATAATATTATTTTTTTAAATTTCAAAGTGCTTTCTGAAAGTAAATTAAAAGAACTAATATGCACTTTGACGTTTATCTGTCTCAATAATACGAGTAGTTCAAATGTACTACAATATATTTACAAGGTTATTAAGACAGTTTAATGCATACAGTGTGTCCCAAACTGCGAGAACTTTTTCAGACTAAAAACTACGTTATAAGAGGGTTAGAAATAACATTTTGACAGTGACAGGTCTTTGTCTACTATTTTTAAGTTGAAATAAAGAACATTGTTGACATAGATTTAAAAATCGCGTTCTCCATAACTAACTTGATCACAACCAGAGTAAATTAGCTAAAAAACACAATTTGGGACAGCTAGTATACTTCGAGAGCGTCTTCCACACCCAAAAAAACACCCACAAATATTTTTTTGTTAGTTCTAGTATTTCAAACACACCATATTTACAAGTGGTTATTTCATTCTTATTTAGGGTGACAATAGAATAGTTTAAATGACAGCTGACATGCTGGGGATGGCTCATTTATTTCGTCGTCCAATAATATTAAAAAATAAAGACTCAAAACTATTTTCCGCGAGGGAAAATCAACTTTGGACCTTTGGCATTCGCACACAGTAGTTATTATCATTAAGACTTACTAATATTAATTAAATGAGATGTGTATCGATTAAGAAAATCAACCTTATGCCGAATATACATAAAGTTATTTTTGTTAAATTTAAACAGCCAGACTTGCATTCACACGCTCACTTCTCTCTTTTCATTCATTTTTACTTTTATTTATTTTTTATTTTTTTTAAGGATACAGATATTGTTTGTTGTCTGAATGGCGTGCAATATGTGTTATTGCACTTTATTTTTTTCTCTTATTAGTGACACTTTTTGAATAAAAATTCAGGTTCAGGTGAAATTGACAAATTCCACCATATTTCTTTACTTTGTATGTGTGTTCTAATTCTTACAGTGATAAAAATCTATACAACAATATATCGCATAAACAAACGAATTTACAATCAAAACATTTTCATATGGTATCGATTTTTATAACCACAGATTAGTAACGAAATCCTATGACATTTTCTTTTGACATGAGTCTCAGAGATCATTAAAATGACAGATAGCCTTAACCTCGATCCGTAACTGACTTAACTATAAATTCTTTCGATCATACGACTCGTATGGACTAAGAAAGTAAACATGTATGAACTTATTTCGTACCTACTAATAAAAATTTGTATAATTTTTTTAAAGATTATTTATTGTTATATTAAATTTCAATAAAATGTTTTATTTTTTTATATAAATTATAAACATGGCGGGATCCGCTTTGGGAGTTATTTTTTTTTCGAAAATTTCGACGAACTTTTTTTGAAAAAAAAAAAAAATTCGTTCGCGAAAGGAACATCGTATCTATACCTACGCGCGTCGCAATGCGTGTGAGAGAGAACAAATTAAATTGTCACGCGACGACGCGGTAAGAGAGATAAAAAAAGTGGGAAAACGAAAAAAATTATATCAAATTTGAAAAAACGAGCAGAACGTTAGTTTCAAGAAAAGCAGGATCCGCTGACCAATGGGATGGTTGGCGTTACGCCCAGTCGATGCGTCGGTTGGTGGTGGTGATGGGAGGGGCTCTCCTGATTGGTCGCTGCTCTAACGGTTCGCTGAAATAGAGAAAAAAGTTTGGTTAGAAAACTACGTCACATAAAGCGACCGCTAAAAAGTTCGTAACAAATAATGGGAGAAATATGAGTTCTACAAAGAAAAAATATATGGAATCATATTCAGCATGCCACTTTTCATCTCGCTAGCTCGTGTGGCCACGGCCTTGAATTTTTACTCTCAGCGCACGTAAAGAACTTTCACTTTAAAAAACTGATTTTTTTTAAGTCACTGTGTGTACAGGGTGAGTCAAATTCGACGCTTTTAAATGGAAACACCCTTTTCTATAGGAGACAGACAAAAACTAATATCGGTGTCTGGAGCTCAATTTTTGTCAAAAACATGATGGTGAACACCGCATATCGATATCTATTACCGTTTCGGAGTTACGGGGTGTTTTTCAAAAATATGCATTCCTAACAAATCGCTGTAACTGTTTTGCTATGGTAAATTTTGTATTTTTATGAAAACATTTCCAAAGCACCTTTTTACGTAGAATTTAATGGTTTAAGTATAATTTTTTTAAAATTAATAATTTAAGAATTATCAATAGAAAATTTGATTTTTTATATGGGACACCCTGCATATCTTTAATTTATTGAAAAGAATTTAAAATTACCTTTCCAAAAATATAACACACTTGATATTTTGCTCGATTCCTCTTCGAGATATAGAGTATATAAAAATTCGCCCGCTTTAAATAAGTAGTCTTTGAACGGCACCGGCTGTAATGCAAAAAAAATCTAGCTGTGAGAATCAATTAAAACAAAAATAATATTTGCTATGAGAGATGCAGAATTCTATAACAATTTATAACATTTTAAAACAATTTTAACCAACATCAACACATTTAAACTCTGTATTATCTAATAACAATAAAAATAAATAGCAAACCAAGACATGAGATTTTGCTACAGGTGTTTGACTTATCGACAGTCTTTTATTATGGACAGACCGGGCAGTTTTTGAACATTTCTCGCGGAATTCATTAACTCAGTGGGGGTGAAAGATACCCTCTCATAACTGCTAAGTATTTTTAAGTCTTGTCTAAATTATACGGAAAAATAAGAAACCTTTATTCTTCCGCAAATATATCCATAGGATTAGATCCATGGGCACTAAGTCAGGCGGCCTCGACGGCCAACGGCTGGGATCTTGGTTAGCTATCCAATTATTCTTGAAATTGGCTGCAAAAATTTGCTGATAACTTCAGCGTTCAGAGGCGGTGCGTCGTCTTGCTGGAAAAATATGTTTTCGAGTTCCATTAAGGGCATATCATCAATAAGGGGTCCAAAGCCTACTAGTTAAAAGTGACGAACTTTTAAAAATCCTGTATTTCGAAGGGGATTATAACAAAATATCAAGTGTGCTATATTTTTAAAGGTAATTTTAAATTCTTTTCAAATAATTAAAAATATAGAGGGTGTCCCAAATAAAAAATCAATTTTCCTGTTGATAACTCTTAAATTATTAATTATACTTAAACCATTAAATTCTACGTACAAAGGTGCTTTGGAAATGTTTTCATAGAAATACAAACTTTTCAATATCAAAAAAGTTACAGCGATTTGTTAAAAATGCACATTTTTGAAAAACACCCCGTAACTCCGAAACGGTAACAGATATTGATGTGCGGTTTTCACCATCATGTTTTTGATGAAAATTGAGCTCCAGACACCGATATTAGTTTTCGCCTATCTCCTATAGAAAAGGGTGTTTCCATTTAAAAGCTTCGAATTTGACCCACCCTGTACATTGATGTAAAATTAAATTCTGAATAACCGTTCTTTTTGATACATTTTACTTATTTAAAGAATACTTTTTTAAATTGCTGCCATGAAAGTTGACAGACATGTCAGAATACTTTTTGGACAAGCTGAGAAAATACCCCATGTTTTGCTTTCAACTTTTTGGCTGTCACTGTATAGTTACTTCTTGGATACTGTTACGCAATAAGTATTGTATAACTCTATACATTTCCAACACGACTATGCTTTACTACCTTTTTTCAAGATCATTAATCTCATGCCTAAATTTATTTATTATAAAATTATTCAAAATTATGTATTAATTTATTTTGTATTATTTATAATAAAATAAATATTGTATTAAAGAATGAAATTATGCTCATAATTTTTCTCTAAAAGTAAGTAAAGTCACCGACATGTTGGAGATGTAAAGAACACAAAAAATTATAAAATCTAATGGCGTAACAGTATCTATGAATACTTATGATCTAGAGTTCTAGGGTTAGATAGCGCTGGACGATGGTACTCGGACTGAACAAAAAACGCGACGATTGACTGATTTATTTTGATTAATCGGTTAATATGTTTATGGAGTTAATATTAAGTTTTCCCTATTCAAAGAAGGTAAGAAAAAAAAACAGGAAACATAGATTGAGTTGAATGAGTTTGTTTAAGATTTGATGATTTTTTTTGGTTATCATTCTGGAGATCTTGCTGGAATATCACAAATGAAACAATATACACTTGCATAGGTTTTAAACTTGTTTTCGTATCAATATTTGAAGCAAAATACATATACAAACGGTATAGTACATACAGAACCAAATTGGCGTCAATTTATGTAACGGCATTTTTATAAACTCTGTCCAATGAGTCAATGAATATTTCGACATCCAAAATGTGAGAGAAAATAATTTACTTTTAAAATGACAAACACAACTGTCATTGCCATAAAGGGTTGGTATGATTTAAATGAAATGATTTAAATCAAGTGATTTTTTTAATTTTAATCATGTGATTTAAATCAAAAAATTAATTTTATTGAAGCTTTATAATAAATCAAAAAATAACTGTAAAAGTAATAAAAAACTGTCCTAGAAAACTATAAAAAATATTTCTATAGCAGATATAACAGATAATAAATCGAAAAATAATTGTAAATTTTATAAAATTATATAAAAATATCTACTCATCAATGTAAATGTTGAACCGATTTTTGAAGTAATTTCGTGTGAATCCATAAGACCGCTAAACGCAGGGATTTATTTTAAAATTTATGTATAAGTGACAAAAATTCGCTGTTCGAATACATATCATTCACAGACTAGTGCAGAACTAGGTTCTTCTGATATAGAGACTATATCTTCATTCTCGAAAATCTATAATCGTTGTCAGAAAATATGTTGTTTTAAATTTTTTTTGAAACGTTGGTATGTTTCCAAATTCTTATTCTATCTTATTCTTCGACATTTTGATTTGCAGTAAGTACTTTACACTTTGACATTAGATAATACTAATTTCATTCTTGACTTAAGACAATTTCCGAACAATAGTGTATTGTTTTAATAAGAGTAGAAATTATACTTTTTTTGACGATGCTGTACATGAAGGACCATCGCAAATCTATTCCGACGTTACAAGGAGGCACAAACAGTACATTTTTACTCCGAATAAAACACTATTTTATTAAAACATTACAAATAATGTTTTAATCGATTTTAAACATTGCAAATAATACAAACAGTAATCGAGAAACAATTTGTACACTCGTTGATTTTGACACTTAATATCAGTTTAATAATATATTTTTGTACTTTTGTGCTTAGGCGTAACAGTGCTTTACTTTTATGCCTAGGCGTCAAAATGATAAAAAATTAATACTTTTGAGACGATTGAAAAAAAAAAACCTTTTGATGTGAAGCTTTGAATCTGAAGCGAGCGACTTTTTTTGCGGAATATTGGTGACCGGTGTGGAAAAATGACACGCGCCGTAGAATTGTTAATGTTGTTATCGGTATCGCGCAGAGTTATAAATATTTAGCTCTTTAGGATAGGACTTTAATTGGAAATAAGTCCTAGTCATTTGGAAATCTGATTTAAATATTGTTTTGAATTAAAATCAATGATTCAACTTATAAGGAGTTAGCTATTACAAAACAATAAAAATAAATAGAAATGAATTTATTAGAATAACTAATTTTACTGTTCTAATACCTTGGAATGATATTTCTTTGTCGACTTTATATTAAGAACCAGCTATCTATCTATATCTTTTGATGCTTCCAAACAAAAATAAACCAAAACATTTAGACCGTAACAGTGTCCCAATTTGTTGCGATATTTTTAGCTGGGATATTTTCTTAGGTAGTTGCAATACCGTTTTAGAAAGTCGACCATTGGGTACCATATATCTTTGTTAAATCACTCTAATTGTCTACTAGAACGATGAAATCGAAACTTTAAACTTTTGGATGATAATAAAAATAATAATCAAAATTAAAAATAGTCTGTTCAAAATAAGTATGATCAATAAATCAGATCTAGATTGACTACCACTGAATCGTCAAAATCCATCATAAAGATAAAGTAGTACATTTTTAGTAAAAAGTACATTTTTAGACAACTTCTTTATTTTGAAGATTTTGATGGTCAAACATCAACAAATCCTTACGTTTGGACTAAATTTTCTCAAAAATAAAGACATAATTTAAAATTCCGTTACAATACGGAAATAGATTGAAGTTTTGTGATTACAGTGATACAAAATTTATATGGTTTTGTAACAAATTGCTCGCTATTTTATGGCAAATGCTGAAGCTCTGCAAACTTTAATCAAGCCTTAACCAAAGCACGTGTGTTTGGAATTCTGGGTGTGGCTTAACACGACAGGATCGGGCTAAGCCTTAGGCAGATTTCTGAAATAAAATATATATTTCCTTCGGCCACACACCCGTTTTACCCGACCCCTGAGAGCGACCCGAAAGTACAGCGTAATAATGTGCTAAATCAACGTAATTTGGTCTTGTATGTATACCGGTTATATGTGTTATTGTGACTTTCATCATTGGGTTCTTCTAAACTATCTTTTTAAGGTTGCAAACGTACGAATCTTTGAAAAAAGAAATTAAAATAGAATGAGAGTATATAATAGAATGAACTAAATTTAGGTATTAATAATGAATGTGTAGGCTTTAGATGTATGTAGTTTTTTGGTACCTTTAGCAGAATTCTGCTTGGATTTATCGTCGTCTTTTCTGTTCACCGGAACTGAAAAAACAAAACGGAACTGCGTTGTGGTGAAGGCCTTAATAATTTCGCACACACATTTAGGGATGTCCAAAGATATCGATATTAAAATTATCGATATTCATAAAAATCGATATTTTTAGTATCGATTTTTTAATTTATCGACCGATATATCGTATTCAGTATTTAAGTAACAATATATTAAATAAAATGCTTACGGAAATTTCTAAAATTCGACTTTTTAGATGTAAATCTACAAGTCAAATTTTAATTTCCGTATGATAAAAAAAAAGTTAGCTTTGAAATGACAATCGATGACCTTAAACACCATATAGTTTTACAAAAAAAAAATGACAACGATTCCCATTTCAAAGCCACCTCTGACGCCCATGATTGTATAGATCTACTTAAAACTTTTGTCGATATATCGGCAAATAAAAAAATATCGATACGATATCTATCGATATTTTTGTTTAGGATGGACATCCCTAACATAAATGCGCCGCAAGGTAGAGTAACTTGCTATCGATAACCTTATTAGTTGGGAAAGTGTTTCAATTCGGCTAAAAATCGATAAATGTGAAATTAGTTCGCGTTTGGTTTCATTTATTTTGTCCTCTTTAAACGGTCGTAAAATCTCTCTAAAACTTGAACCATATATTGTACAGGGTGTTATCTAAAAATACACGTAAAATATTTCATTTTCATTATTAACTTGAGATTATTTTATAAAAAAAGTTCAGTAGAAGCCCAAAATTTATTTCTTTTCCGATATACATACATCAGTGTTGGACGTTATTTCGAAGACACTTTGTATATGAAAAATCACTTTTATCTTTAATTAAAAAAAAGTTATAACAAAAAAGGTTATTTTTTTTTAAATTTCAGATTGCCAACATTCATGGAACACAGGACACAAAATTGATTGAAAATTTGTTGAAAAAGGAAAATTGATTAAAAATGGTAAAATGTACCGAAATTACCGATATTTGCAAAACTATAAATTGTAGTTATCTTTAATTCAATCAAAACAGACAAATGTACAGGGTTTACATCTGTAGATGTTAGTAATGTGGCTATTAGATAAAATCATTGAAACCATATGTCTCATCACGAAGAATTAAGAGATATATTATGGTTCCTGGAGATATTTATTTCATTTTATATTTATATCGTGTGATTTCCAATAGAATTAGTATAATCAACAAATCATTGTTTTACTCACTACAGTCATGTCTGACAAGAACAACAGCCCTCGCCAGACATTTTGGTCATTCAAGCCGAATTTCAGATATTAGTATAATTTGTTCAAGCAAAAATCCCATTAGAAATTTGTTTCCCTAGATTTTCAAAGCAGTAAATCTTTATAAAAAATTTTTATTCTAACTCTAGTAAAAAGTCTTTTAGTTGTGATGTAATCTAGTAAAAGTTTGTTCAAGTTCTAGTGCATTATTATTGAAGATTGCAGTATCATGTAATTTCTTAAATGACCTATTTTGTTATGGACAATATAAACCAGCATTGTAAAATAAGACGAAACCAAAGCCTTTAAGTTTGTGAAAGACCGTATGATCGAAAAAAAAACGGCGTCAAAGAAGGCTGATGGAAATGACAATCGATTCTATTTTTGGAGAGGTCAATCTCTAGATGTCATTTAATAAAAATTGACAATAATTAACGCTAAATAGAAAGATTAAAAATAAATTACAACCTTCTTAAGGCCAATTGGCAGCAAGCGCCATTAAAAAATAAAGAAGAGTATGAGCCAAGCAAATGAAGTCTAGGGCTTGACCTCGCCAAAATTATCGGTTGTCCTTCCCAGCCGTTTTTGAGGCCGTTTTTTTTTCAAACGTATAGTATTTGAATTAAGTATGTGCTAGTTACTTTACCTTGCGTTCCACAGTCAAACTAAACAAAAATAAAAACATTAATAGCTTTTGAACAGTGACAATACATGATAGTGCCTCATGGATTTAATTGTGATATGATAATATAGAGAATCACTGATTGTTTCAATATTTACAGTGCATAAAGATTTAATATCGGTACTGAACATTTTGGACATTAATATGAAATCACACTGTATTTTTAACGTTACAAAAAGAGTATTAGTAATGAAAATTTTAAAAAACTATTAATTCAGGAATATTTATCGTAATTTTAAAAAAAAATTTACTAAGCATACCCAAAGAGAACTCAAAGGCTTTGAAGTATCTATAAATACAATATTTGGTTGTTATTATTGTAGTTATTGCCAATTAACATCTACAGATGCATATGAAATGCATAATATTTGAAAGAAAAAAAAATGATTAGGCCCACCGAATAAAAAGACTAACGAAGGAACATACATATATTTTTTAAACCATTTTTGAGCACCCTGTATAATATCTGGTAAATCAATCTAAAAATTTAACTAGCCTAAAACATTTTCTGAAAGGTAAACTACACAAACTTATGAAAAAAATGCATTGACTCTGAAATTTTTTTATTATCTTTCCCTGTGCAAATGTAATTTTCAACATAAAATTAGAATTATTTCAGGAACTTAAAACATTCATTCAAATTTGATACTAAAACCCTAATAATAAATCTAATGACTAAAAAAACTCTATACAGTGTGTTGTCCAGGCCAAACCAACCGCAATATCACCCGTTTTTTAGATATATTTATTTAAGCGCCATTCTTAGTAATTCTACGATCTATATTACCGACCGAAATTCGCGTCGCCCTTTTTTAAAAAAAGTAAAGCTCCGTCTACACATAACGTTTTACGTGTCAGTCTTTCCTGTCAGTCAAACCTTGCGCTTAGACGAAAAAACGGACTGTTTTATTTAAATTGCATTTTAATGGAAGACCGTTTAGAGATAGAACTGAGGGGATCATTCAGTTTTACGGCAAAATTTAAGTTTTGCCTACACTGAAAACTTATAAGTAAATTTACAAAATGTAACATGAATATACAGGGTGTCCCAGGCTGAGCGTACGTTAGAAGTTTCCAGAGAACTATAATATCTAGATAGGAGATTTTTTGTACGTCATTGTTTCACAACGATGTCTATCGATTAAAAATATTTTCAGTATGGCGGTACTTCCGGAAACACCGGAAGTTGACAGCAACTTTCTAATATTAAATTGGTACCCCCATTTTTGTTACATACTTGAATTATCTGTAAAATTTTATAAATTATGATATCAAACACTCTATACCTAACATTAACCGTTTTTGAGAAAGAATATATTTAAAATTTTTGGACGAATAAAACTGCCTGTCAAAAAAATTCTATAGCCTAAACGTCAAATTTAATGATTACCACAGCCACTGTGACATAAAGTGATGATATGTGGCTATCTATTTCAAAAATTGAATTGTTCAAATGTCATATAATATGGGCCGTAGCTGTCATGGAATTGAGTCATTAAAATATTATCATAAATCATTTTTTTCCAAATGGAAACCTACTTTTTTATTTTACTAGTGAAAAGGCTTTTCAATTCGTTACTTTATAATTATACATGTTCCTATACCTAAAATAAATCGTTTTTAAGTTGGTGGGTAAAAATAAGTAAAAACAAAAGGCATGCAAGGCAAGGCTCAACTCTAGTTAATATTCAATTTATTTAAGTACAAAAATAGTTTTTCTCGTCAGTTTTACATCAGAGGTATCTTGGTAAAAATTACAACAAATAACCATTATAGAGATGTTTGGATTTGAAATAATCGGAAATAATCAATGCATGCTAATTTCCTAAACGGTAAAATTTTTAAGAAATTTATGATAACATGGTTTCGGTAGAACCTTCACCATCAACTTTTGATTTTTCAGAAATTATGAAAGTGAGGTTTTAAAATAGCTTCTGTTGAACCTTGGTATCAGAACGTTTTGGAAATTATTAATTTACTCAAATATCTACATATCTAGTGAACATGTTTAATTTTTGTCATTGATGGTATGTATTGATTATTAAGAATCTAAATATCTTGAAAACGGTTGCCCCCAGCGATTTTTAACAAAAGACATTTTTTTAAGAGAGTTTTATACAGGTACGGACGAAAAGTTATTCAAACCAGTTAAAAATATGTAGGTGGCGCCTCCTACAAATAAGAGTCATATTGACATCAAAATCAAATTTCTCATGTCAAAAAACTCCCAAATACCAATTTTTATCCAAATATTGACGTTACTTCAGAAATTATTTGGAAAAAATCGAAATATAAATGAAACTTCTACACCTTGTATCTCCAAAACGAAGCATTTTAGGACATAAGTTTATACAAAGTTTTTTTCTTATTTTTATCTGTAGAATATGTTGCCGAAGTTTTCGGAATACATTTCGGATTACCCTGTATATTTGTATTATAGTTGGTATAACTGGTCCATTTCAAGTGTAAAACTTTTGCTACAGCAGCGCCATCTCAATTAAACCCTTTTCTCTATACAATGATACTCTTCTACCCTCCATACTCACGGTCTTCCGTTTTAAGCGACGCAACAGGCAAAACCGACAAGCAAAACGTTCTGCGCAGACGCGACCCAAGAATAACAACAACGCGTTCGCGCTTTTTTCCCCGACGCTTTCATTTGTGTGTGTCCCCAAACATTTCCGTACCGATATTAACCTCAATCAGTATTTCTAACTATACGGGGCGGCTTCTTCTCCCACAGCTCGATTTTATTGACCCAGCGCGTAACTTCGGGGCGGCGCACCGCCGGCGCTGGCGCCGCTGCTCTCTTACCCGGCTGCGCGGCGGCGGCGGCCACGTTGAGCTGTGACGACTGCGCCTGCGGCTGGCCCTGGCCGGCGGGGGCGGCGCCGCCCGCTCCGGCCGCGCCCGCCTTCTGCTTCAGCATCGTCCAGTCGAACGTGTAGTCGTACTGGTGGTTGAGCGTGCGGAACAGGATGCGGAACAGCTGGCGCAGGTACATGTAGTCGGGACCCTCCTCGAACCGCAGCCCGCGGCAGTAGTTCAGGTACATGGAGAACTCGGCTGGGAAGCCCTGAAAAATAGGAAAAAAATAGGTTAGGTTAAGATTAAGCACCTTAAAAGTAAGGGCATTAAGGGGAGGAGTTAAATAGTAGTCTCCAAAAAATCCATATGGGCTACAAGAAAATCTACAAAATAAAATAGTTATTTTTTTAATCACTGCTGCGTTAATCCAACGGAGACTAATCGTCAGCAGTTAGGTTTACTGATAAACAAATTTGCATTTTTTTAATCCTTTCAAATATAGAACTTTTGCTACAGCAGCGCCTGATAATCACAGTATAAGTGTAAAAAAATTGTTTAATTTGTAAATTTTTCAACATACCTATTTCATGGGAAATTATTTGTAAAACTACAATTTTTCTTATTCAATGTTTTTAAAATGTAAAAAACGCACATTTAAAAAAATTATCTCCGCCACTGGTAACTTACCTTTATTAAAAAGATCGTTTTTATAGGAACATGTATCCTAATAAATTTTTTGGTCTCGAGATTTATCTTAAAAAATGCTTTCATTTGAAGTTAAACACAGAATGGTGGATTATTAAAACGATCCTCCTAAATTAAAGAATTCGAACCTGCGCCACTGAAATTCTAAAAATTATGGTTCTTTACCTATGTGGTAGGAAATTTTCTTCTCTTCAATTTTTTGCCCGTGACTTTTTTCCCCTAATATTCGTAGTTTTAGAGTTATTAAAGAAAAGGTAAAAAAGGAACATTTTTACCCCTTGTAGGGGTGGTTTTGGGGTGACGGGCTCAACGGTTCATCGCTGGGGTTTCAGGATGTTTAAAGATCTACAAAATGAAGCTCCATGCAAAATTGCAGCTTGTCTCTAATTTGTTGAAGGTCACTCATGTAAAACGATGTATCGATCCTGAGCTAAAATGTTAAAAAAAAAACTTGCCAGCATTCATGGGACACAGGGCATAGAATAGATTTTAACAACGCCAAAATTATAATGAAAGAAGCAATAGCCTCTAAAATAAAAATAAAAGAGGCTTGTTTAATACAATCTAATAAAAATAAATGCATCATGCATCTGTAGATGTTAGTAATGTATAGCAATCACTTTTTGATTTTAAAGAACATAACATAAATAACCATAACATACGTAAAAATTAAAAATAATCATACAGAAAGTTTGAACATTGCCTGGAAACTTATATGGTGAAATTTTGATAAAATAATTTAGTACTCACTAAAAACACGGTATGTCGCTAGTGGTAGGAAAAATAATTTTTAGAGGTTACTAGTTTATTTGGTTGCCTGTGATATGCATATACAGGGTGTTTCCTAATTAATCTGAAAAATAAAAAATCGTTAGAAAACGGCTTAAGGCGGGCTCTTAATAAGTATATCTATTTTTTTCTCGGCAACCGTTTGATGAACAAGAAAAACTCAAAAGATCAATTTTGTTGAAAAAAGATGGCCAGTCAAGAAAAAAATATATTTTCTTTAAAAAAGCAGTAGTGTACCATTTATGTTAAGCAAAATATCGATTTTTTTTTAATTTTTAACACCCTGAAGATCAGAAAGGAAGTACTTTAGACCCAATGGTTATATAAAAATTGTTTTAAGAACACATGAGGAATCACACCACAATTTTTTAGACTAATTAGAAAACACCCTGTATATTGTCAACTTGACAATGATTGTTGATAAATCAAAAAATACCTTTTCTGTGAAAAAAGCCCGATTTTAGCAGGAAAAATTTTGGTTTTTATTGAATTTGGGCCTGCGTCTGCAAATACCGGTATGTTTTTTAATATTCTATCTATCTAAATTTTAAATATCATAGTCCGAAATAGTTTTATTATTTATTAACTGTAAAAATGGTACTTTAAGTTTTATCAAATATTGTGATTTACTTTCTACCTTGTAGTGAAAATTTATATTTAATAAACTGTAAAATATATATATTCTTATGTTTTTTTTTAAGTTACTCTGATATACGAATATATCAGTGTAACTTTAAAACTAAATCCTTTGAAATCAAATATAAACAAAAAAATATTTACAGCAGAAAAGGCGAAGGCGCTGGGTTAAACGTAGTCTCTACTAAGAACACGGAGGGGCGCTTTGACCCAAAATTTTACTATTAAGTTTCATATCTATCTTAATATAAGATTATTTTCTTTTATCTATGAGTTTGAAGCTTTTTGATTTTACCTTATTAGGTAATTGTTATCAGGTAGTAATTGTTAATTTTGAACTTTGAATAAGAAGACTAAGGAAGGAGCATAATGCTATCCATGTATTCATGCATGGTGGGCGGAAAAGGCACCATAAAAGCTCTCTAGGGTGAGGATCCTTGACAGTTCTGTTTGACGATTCATTTGACACATTTGAATTTGATTTGAAATTTTGTGGATTTGTCAGTCTTTACGGAGCTGATTTTATGTTATTTATTATTTATTCTACTATTGATAGTTGTATAAAGGTAGGAAATCTAGATGGAAATTGTGGCAGAATTTAAATTAACAGTGACACTATCGCGATTTATCGAAAAAGACTCTAAAATAGTTGGTTGTGTAGCGTGCGGTAGATCTCGGCAAAAATTGAGTGAAATAATGGAACAACTTTTCGCTAGTAAGTGACTATATAATATACATACGTGTAGTAAACCGATCATTTATGAAATTCACTTAAATTAACTAAATTATATATTTTTCTTGCATTTTAGCTTTTACTTATTACTTGTCAAAGAATTTAGATACGTTAATTTGACTTACCTGCTTCAGTAGCGTATCGGATGTTTGTGTTAATAAATACTTATTATAACTTATCAATTTTTATTAGAATTATATATTTTTATAACAATTTTAGTAACTACCAACATTTATTCACAACGTAAAATAAAACAACAAATTATTGAGTCTACCCCACGTCTACCCTACATCATAGTTTTACATTTTTTAAATAAAATTAGAACGACACTGATAAACCGGAATTTAAGTCGGCCATATTTGAGGCCCATCGCGGTGTACCTAAGATTTTTGATATGCTCCTTCCTTAGTCTTCTTATTCAAAGATTTTGAAGTTTACCTTGATATAATGCCATTTTAACAGAATGTTAACGATTTTTGTAGATGTATCTGCCTTAAAAAAACTAAAGTGTTCTCGAATAGTTGCATTTAAATATTTTAAATAGTTTTTTTTCTTTATTATTTGTATTTTTTGCTTCCGACGCTGGAAAAAGTAAACCTAACTGTCAACAATAATTAGTCTCCGTTGGATTAAGGCAGCAGTGTTTACAAAAAATAACTATTTTATTTTGTAGATTTTCTTGCAGTGGCGAAATACCATATAGGCTTTTTTTGGGGGAGATGAATCCGCCACATAGGTATAGACATTTTTTAAATAGTAGCGTTTAACTTACTTTGCACAGAACCTCGACCGGCGTGGACATTTTCTTCTCGCTGATTTTTTCGTACTTTTGTTTTTTGGTGGCGGCTTTGAGCCCCTGCCACGGCAAACATCCTCTGTTGAAGTACATCAACACGTAACCGAGAGATTCCATATCATCGCGTCGGGACTGTTCGATGCCCAAATGGGCATTTATCGAAGCGTATCTAAGAAAAAACAAATCATCAGCAAAATAATTTCAATAGTAAACAGACTTAATTATAAGTGATACTCCTATATGGCTAAATAAGGTAATACTCCTAAAAAGACACTCAAGTTGATCACGTGCAGCAGAAATTGATTTGCGATTACTTTTAAGTGTATTACTTAATCTCCAAAACCCATAATGACTCACCTGGCTGTTCCCGTTAAATTCTTGTCCTCCCTGTATATAATGTGTTGACGCGTGCGCGTGTCCCGGTACTTCTTGGCCAGTCCGAAATCGATAAGGAACAGCTTGTTGCAGTGGCGGCCGATGCCCATAAGGAAGTTGTCCGGCTTGATGTCCCTGTGGATGAACGACTTGCCGTGCACGTACTCGATCCGGCCGATCATCTGGTCGGCCAGCATCAGCACCGTCTTGATGGTGAAGCGGCGCGAGCAGAAGTTGAAGAGGTCCTCGAGCGACGGGCCCAGCAGGTCCATCACGAGGACGTTGTGTTCTCTTTCTTGGCCATAATATCTGCAAAAGAAGAGTAGGCAACTTTAGTATTTTAAAAACATTTGTACGAATTCAAATTTATTATCTTTTTGAAACGTACAAACATTGGAAATCCGTCATTTTTATAATTTGTTTAATAAATATTGTACGTAGATAGTGTTGAGTGAGTCTGGCCCCACGTTGGGCGCCAAATTGTAACACATAGATAAAAGAAACAAGTTTAGATTGGAAAGTGTCCATAAGGACAATGTAAATTCTATTTGAGCCACAGTATCTGCAAAAGAAGAGTAGGCAACTTTAGTATTTTAAAAATATTGGTACGAATTGAATCTCTTTGAAACGTACAAACATTGGAAATCTGTCATTTTTATAATTTGTTTAATAAATATTATACAGGGCGTTTCAAAACAAATACGAAAAACTTCAGGGGGTGATTCCTTGTTTAAAATAAAGGGTAGTTTGCTTCATAAACGTTGGGTCAAAAGTCAACCACTAGGGAGATATCGCGATACAAAATGGCGGAAAAATAATGTTTTTAATTTTTATCTTGAAAACGAAAAGAGATAGACTAATGAAATTTTATGGAAGCATTACTGTTATGAAAACACACTTTCTGGTAATTTTTTCACTTTTTTAAAATGAGTGGAAAAAAAGCAGCCCACTAGATTATTTATCTAAAAATGTTTTTTGTCCTGACATGTAATGCTCTACCATTTTATTTTTTAATTTGAAATCGGTGAGTTTTATCAAAAAAACATAAGAGATAAAAAAGTTTCTAAACAAACTAAACTATCCAAATTATTTTTTTTGCATGTGTTTGATAAGATTTTTCTTTAAATTTCGTTAACAAGAACGATAGGGGTAGTTTATTTCAACACCTTCCACTCATTTTAAAAAAGTGAGAAAATTACCAGAAAGTGTGTTTTCATAACAGTAATGCTTCCATAAAATTTCATTAGTCTATCGCTTTTCGTTTTCAAGATAAAAAATAAAAACATTATTTTTTTCGCCATCTTTGTACCGCGATATCTCCCTAATGGTTGACTTTTGAACCAACGCAACTACCCTCTATTTTGAACAAGAAAGTACCCCCTGAAGTTTTTCGCATTTGTTTTGAAACACCCTGTATGTAGATACTGTTGAGTGAGTTTGGCCCCACGTTGGGCGCCATACTGTAATACATAGATAAAAGAAACAAGTTTAGATTGGAAAGTGTCCATAAGGAAATTGTAAATACTCTTTGGACCATAATATCTGCAAAAAAAGAGTAGACAACTTTAGTATTTTAAAAATTATGGTACAAATTGAATCTTTTTGTAATGTACAAACATTGAAAATCCGTAATTTTTATAATTTGTTTAATAAATATTATACGTAGAGTGTTGAGTAAGTCTGGCCCCACGTTGGGCGCCAAATTGTAACGTATAGCTAAAAGAAACAAGTTTAGATTGGAAAGTGCCCATAAGGACAATGTAATTACTATTTGGCGATATTCTTACATATATTTATTGGCGATATTCTTACATATATATTATTCTTCGCTCTCCAAAGCTTTTGATAATTTTGGAGTGGTTCGGCTTTTTCCGGAATTATGTCGCCAAATATTGTTTATTCAAATTTATTATTATTTTCTTTTAATTTTTTAAATAAGATACAGAGTGTTGCATATAAGAAACTTTATTTTATTAACAAGAACAGGGACATGTGTGAAATACCTATAAAACATTAGAAACCGACGTTATGCTACGATCCACGATGGTTTTTGTAGTTCACAGTTCACACAGCTTTTTAAGTTTTTAATGCCACTTTTTCACAATTATCACAGGTTTGAGTAAATAAAATTTAAATTAAACTTACAAGATAGCAATAATTACTTTGAAAATGGATGCTTTAAATTCTTTTTGGTATTTTTTCAATGAGGGCGGTTTAAATTTTAAAAGATTTTATAATTTTTGAAGATTCTGACTTTGACAAGAGAAAATTATTTCTGTTCTTGTTTGCGGTTGTTCTTAGCAACCGCTATAGCAGCGCCCTACAACGTATGCGCTCTAAAACAATTATAAGTTTTCGCGGCAAGCCGAGCATTCCAATCTTGTTTCCTTTATCTATGATTGTAAAAAAAAATAACGAAATGATATTATCGTAGAAACGCGTTCTGATTTTTAGGACAAACAAAAATTAAATTATATTTTCATGATTTTTTCTAGTTTTCTCTAAAACGGTATGATAATTTGGAAAAGTATAAACGGGAGGGGGGTAAACAATTATAGAATAGACAAAATCTTTTATAAACAATACATTTTTCTCAAAATGTCAATAATAAAAAAGTTTGTTTTCTTGTAAAAAGCATAATATAAACTATGTATTATAAAAATTAAAAAATAAATAATCTGCTTATACATGTATCACCCCTATTGAAATAAAGATAATTAAAATGATTCATATAATTGTTTGTTGTCATTTAGTAAGAACAATTAAATAGATAATTAGTTCTGCAATATCTTGTTTTGATTTGTTTCTACTACTATGTTGAAAAAGCTATTAATAATCGTTTAAGATAATTATTATTGTCTTAGGTAGTTTAAAATATTGGTTAATATTATAAGGTTGTTTGGTCATATTTTACATAAAAAAATGCTATATTTAAAAATTGCAATTACAAAGAACAAAAAAATTGAAACAATACCGATGCATTATACAAATTTTATAGTGACAAAGTATCTCTATGTGATTTGCAACTATTCAATTAATCTGAGGTTACTGACATATGACGCATCACTGACTACGTAGGTATATTATTTTAAAATCCTTTGTCTAATCTCTCTAGTCATGGTTAATTTCGTTTTAAAAACGGTAATGTTATTCTTTTTAATACCCGTCCCATGGGTATTTTTCATAATATTTACAAACTGTTAATAATAATACAGAATTTTCCCTAATGACATGCTTATATTTAAAGGGGTGATTCTTGAAGCTTTTCAAAGAAAAAAAACTTCTTACGTGTCCTAAACATCTTAACCTTTGTGATACAGGGTGGTAAAATTTTCTAAAAACAAACTTTTTTTCATAATAACTCCGATGTTATTATACAGGGTGAGTCTTAATTAAGTGAAAATATTTTTAGGGGTGGTATATTTCGACCCCAGAAACACGTCTATGAGGGTTTTTACCCCAAAAAAATCTAAAAATTTGGTATTTTTTGGAAAAAAAAAGATTTTTTTTAATTTTTAGTTAAAAAACATAATATCTTGATTTTATGGCAACATAGGTAGAATATTAAATTTACAGGAAAGAACCCAGAATAAATCCAGTAGTTCTCAAAATTCAAGCAAAAAACATTTTTTTTTTAAATTTTTAAAGTAAAATAACTCGGTTATTTTCGATTTATTTGAAAAACGGTAAATAGAAAATATGTTTCTTTTATCGAGACCTACCAGCCCTGATAATATTTGCACTTATTTAAGACTCACCCTGTATATATCTTTATGGGACAAAGTTTAAGAGAATCTAAAGTTGCAAAATATTGCCAAAATCATTTTCAATCGTTGTATAAACAAAATTCGGTGCAATGTTGTGGTTTATAACAAAAATAATTATATTTTTATCGCTACTTCAAGTGTTTGGCAATGAAATTAAATCCACACTTCGAACTTTTCAAAAAGATAAGAAAACATTAATTGAATTTCTTCCAAAGTATTTGTACACCCTAGACGATAAAAGTATATTTTATTTTTCAGCAGTAATATGTATATTACGATAAAATTATTAATAATAATGTTTATTATTTATTATATTCATTATTAATCATTCATATATCATATTTAAGTATATAATTTTTATTAATGTTAAAGAATTTGAATTCATAATGGAACATACTGATGTCATGTATTATCAAAACTCATAATTTATACTATCACAAACGACTGATAAGGTATATGACATTTGATGACGTACTGCCATAATTAGAGATTCCTGTAAAGTGATAAAAAAGGCATAAACATCAAGGTTAATCTTTCACCTTTAAACCTAATTAATACATAACTTCTATGTTCTGTGAATGTAATCTATGAATAAAAAGATTAAGGAAGGAGCATTTAAGGTAATGGTTCTGTTTATTTGCATCACCCATCTTTCTGAGAAGAATAATAATGTTGATGGTATTTTTCGTACCTTAAATTCTTTAGGCATAGCCGTAGAATAAGGGTAAAAATAATATTTTATACAATTTGTCGAATATACATATACATATAACCATATTAAATGTATGTTCACAACATTGGGCCCACTATCTCATTCTAATATAACAAGAGAGAAAGAAGCAGCCATATAAAACGTAATTTCTAAATAGAAATTAGAACAATCGCCTTTCGTTTTCGTCATCATGCCAACCAATATGACAACATCATGACAATTCGTCATGTTTGTTAATTTTTCTTTTGGTGATTTACCTTTTTTTCCAAATTCTCCATTTTATTGACTTATGAATATGGATAGGGAACAAATTCCTTTGTTCCATATAGGTATTTATATTTTGTTACTTATAATTTTAGGTTATACTATTTATTTTATTTGCTGCAGGAGCCGTATCATCTATTTTTTTTATGTATTGGTGCCCCCTTTCTCTGATACATATGTTAAGGACACCCGGTAAAATAAAAGTAAGTAGTTATATTTATCATCTTATTAAGAAAAAAAGTAGAAGTAGTAGTGTCAAAAATATTTCGAACCTCTCTTAACATAACAAATTAATACAATTATTTTTTTTTCATTTTTTGGGTAGGTAGTTTATAGTAACCAGAAACTTTATTAATATGCCTATTTTACTTTTGTTTTAGGATTAAAACTGGACTTGAAAATGGTTCAGGATCATGATTCTCGTAAAGTCTTCTTTGCTTGGATATTCACTTTGTTATTGCAATTAGGCAGTTTTTTCGAAAATGAGATTTTTAATGCCCTTTAAAAAAATTGGCCGATCGTTTCTTGCAAGTCAGTTCTTCTGCATTTAAAATTGGTAGGTGGGT